AGGGATTCAAGAGCCACGTGTGGCTCTGGAGCCGCGGGTTGCCAACCCCTGGCCTAGACTGAGGCGAGTGCGTCCTCATGGTTCCCCCTCGTGTTGTGCGCTCCCTTTCGGCAGGCGGCACAGCATCATCTTGGGCTTCTGCTACAACCCAAGAGAACAGAGCAAACATTTTAAATTTTTTATTTTTTAAATGTTAATTTTAAAATTTTTATTTTAATTATTTTTAATGTGCAATGTGCATAGGAATTAGTTCATTTTTTTTCAAACTATAGTCTGGCCCCTCAACAGTCTGAGGGACAGTGAACTGGCCCTCTGTTGAAAAAGTTTGAGGACCCCTGTTCTAGTGGTTTCCTTTTTGCCTTGTTAATTACTCACTGGAAAGCATTTCTTGTCCGTTCCTGTTATGAAAAGTGAAGAGAGAGGGGAAGAAGAAAGTACTGCCAAGGGTGGGGAGCAGAGAGAAAGAATAGAGTCTCCTTCTTTGCAATGACTCTTCTACCCTAATCAGACATTTTGGGGAATGCCAATAGTAAATTTATTGCTCCTTCATGTGCAGTGCAGAACATGGTTCCAATAAACCTGGAGTACAGAAGATGCATGGCACTGTGACAACCTGACAAAAACCTATGTAGTCTGCAAGAGGAATATTCCACAATTCTTCAAAGAAATACAGGGCATTGTTCATGTGTTCACAGGCCTTCATTTTATCTTCAATATAGGGTAGGCTATAGTGAGAGTAAACATTTTCCCTAGAGTTGTATGATGAGCTGCATGTCTCATTGGAATTGGAATAAAAACTCTATTCCTCAATGATTCCAGTTCTAACCACTAGCATTTACTGCCTTTCAGACAGTTAGCTCTTTCCTGCTAATTCCTGTCAGTTCAGAAACCGTCAGTGCATACGGAAGTTAGGGTTTTAGTTTTTTCTTTGTTTTTTATACTTTGGTATATCTTTAGTTTCCATTAACGCAGTTTGGAGATAGCGTTTGTACCTTTTACAGCCAAGCTTTGTAGTTTTATAAAATTAATTTATTACAAATAAGATTTAGAAATAAATAGTCTGCTGTAATCAGCAAAACTAGTCATTTCAGTGTTCTAAATCTCTTACTAATTCCAGTTTAATCAAGTTGAAAAGCAGTAGTCCTGATCTAGATCCTTGGTGAGGATAGTGCTTAGTTCTCTCTGCTCTGCAAACTGCCAGTTTATTCAAGATATCTGAACTGTGGCTGTGGTTATTACAATGAGAAAAAGGTTTTCATGCTCCACTTTGACTTTTCCATTACACAAATGACCTGAGAGCAGAGCCAAATCTCCTGGGGAACCATAGTTCAGATTTAAGCTGGAAAGGTGCAAGCACTAGTGGTCAAGTTGTGTGTGTGTGTGGGGGGGGGGGGCTGCAGAGTACCATGATGCTTAACATCTCACTGTCTTGAGTCTCATGATTTGGTGGCTCTGATTTAAAACAAAAATCAAAACCCAACATCTGAGGGTCAGTAATACATGGGCTGCTGGTTCCTCCTGCTGGTTGGAATATTCATTGTCACTGCTTAGTTAAATCACTTAACTCCTACTTAGTATGTAGTATCTGAATAATCAAGATTCCTAGTTTTATTGTTGTACATTCTTCAGTGTGATGTTCTAAGCTGTATGGTCACTGCTGAACCCCAGCTGTTGAATACAATGATGTGGAAGGAAGATAATACCTTTATTGGCTGTGTTTGCTAATCACAGTGAGTTGGAGAGTGAAATAGAACATTTAACAACCTGTACAGAAAGGTTTCTGTCATTTCACCATCCATCTGGGCATCATTAGAAAAGCTGCACAGTTTAAACTATTGCAAAAATTACTGAGCTCATAGTGCTCTTAAGCAAATCTGTGGTGCAGCCACACTTGCAATTCTGTGCAATGCTGGTCACTGCACCTCAAAACGGATATTGTAAAGGTGGAAAAGGTGCAGGATAGAGCAAAACAGAGGCAGTGCTCTTCATCGTGGTCTCCGTGCATCACACATCATGGATGCTGTGCCTGCCCAGTGCCTGTTGCCGGGAAGATTTACTAGCATTAATGGTTTTTGGCAGGAACTCTGTGCCCCCTCCTGTAGTATAAATGGTCAGAGTGCCCACCCTTTCCCCAGTCTGCTCGTGACTGCCGTTCGCCGTGCCTCGAGCCTTTTCTCTTCGCTTGTCTACTCATGCTTCTCAACGTAATCTCTAAATCTTGAACTTGTTTTTTTCTCTAAAATGCCACTTTGCAGCTTTATAACCCTAAACCCAGTTCATCCCTTACTGAACCCCTACCCTTATCTCTTGTTCTTCCCCACTTCCCCTTCACCCTTTCAAAATAAATAAATCCCCTCTATTGTCCTTCTTTTCCCTCCTTTTCCTGCTCTCAGGTGCATCCTTCGGTTCACTGTCGGTACTGACACCTACGAATAGAACGTTCTCCCCGTTGGGCTGGCCGCCACTCTGAGAGTCTTTACCAAGTGCATGGCTCCGGTTTGTGCCCAACTCAGACTTCAGGGTGTCCACATTTACCCTTAGCTGGATGGTTGGCTTATTTCCTCGTCGAGAGATGACCTTTTGGCCTCAATTGATGCTACCTGTTCTCTGCTTGATCAACTGGGACTTTGTATTAACACTGAAAAATCATGCCTCATTCCCTCCCAGGTCATCAATTTCATTGGAGAGTGCCTGGACTCTGCGCACACGAGCCTGCCTTCCTCGGGACCGACAAAAAAGACTGATCACCTCTATTCGACAGATCACTGCCCAGCGGACTGTCTCTGCACATTCGATTCAACAGGTGCTCGGTCATACGGCACCCGCGGTTTCGGTGGTGCCGAATGCGAGACTGTGAATGAGACCCTTGAAGCTCTGGTTCAATTGCATTTTCCACCTGGACCGCGATTGACCCAACCGGATACTACAACCTCCGCACTCGGTTCTTCAGACCTTGTCCTGGTGGACTGTCGATACCAATCTCTCCTGCGAAGTTCCTTTCCATGCACTAGAGCCGACCGTGACCCTTTATACCGATGCTTCCCTGACTAGATGGGGTGCCCACTGCATGTCTCTTTGGACCCAAGGCACCTGGCATGGACACTGGACCACCAGGCATATCAACTACCTGGAATTGCTGGTGGTCTTCAAGGCGCTACATTCCCTCCAAACCTTCCTCCAAGACCACAAGGTCCAGATAGTGTCAGACAACATAGTGACCATGTTCTATATAAATAAACAGGGCAGTACTAAGTCAGCACCATTGGCACATCTCGACCTTCGCATGTGGAACTGGTGCATTGCCCACAGGATTATTCCTTGAGCTTTCCCTCTTGCAGGCACCTACAATTCCTACAAGGACTATAAAACTTTCAACCATCGACCTGATCGGTAGTTCCAATGTGGAGCCTCTCTATCATCCTACATGCTCTCACGAAGCCTCCATTTGAACCATTAGCTACAATGGATCTCCACCTTCTCCCTTGGAAAACAGCTTTTTTCAGTAGCGATTACTTCGGCCAGAAGAGCCAGTGAACTGAGTACCCTTTGTGTCGACCCTCCATACCTAAACTTCCACAAGGAGAAAGTGGTTCTACACACTGATCCAACCTTCCGGCCCAAGGTTGCGATGCCTTTTCACCTTAACCAGGACATTTTGCTACTGGCCTATTTCCCTACTCCATTGACACCAGTCGAGCACTCCCTACATCACCCGGACATCCAGCAGTGTTTAGCCTTCTATCGCTCCTGAACTGAGTCATTCAGGAAAACCAAATGACTTTTCATCAAATACTTGGAACACGACAAGGGAGCACCTGATAATACTCAAAGACTTTTGAAATGGATCTTTGAGATGATTGAACTGGCTTACCTCCTGTCAAAACTGGACTTACCTATTACTCCAAAAGGACACTCCACAAGAGCTGTTGCTACTTCTTCTGCCCTCTGTGCAGGCATTCCCTTGCAAGATATCTGCAAAGCGGCCACATGGTCTACTCTGTGCACTTTCACGAAGTACTACTGCTTGGATCTCAAGGCCAGGCAGGACTGCTCCTTCGGCAACACCGTCCTCTCCACCTCTCCACAGTTCTCCAGTGACGACACTGCCCCACCTCCGGGTGTGATAAGCTTGTTAATCACCCGTATATGTGTGATGCACGGAGACCACAATGAAGAAAGGCAGGTTGCTTACCTGTAACTGTCGTTCTTCGAGTGGCCATTTGTGCATTCACACTACCTGCCCACCGGACCCACTCTGTGTCGGTGACGGTATACTATACCTCTAGTTATACTATATATTTATATATATATGCATGCATTTTGTTTCTATTTCTTTTCTCCCTTATGTGCTGGATTCGATACTGGTCAGCTCCACCTGGGGGTGAATGGATGGTCTTCAGCTGACCGGGGAAAGGGCAGGCACTCCGACCATTTATACTATGGGGGGGGGGGGTGAGGTTCCCTCTAAAAACCATTAATGCTAGTAAATCTTCCTAGCAACAGGCACCGCACAGGCACAGCACCCATAATGTGTGAATGCACGCATGACCACTCGAGGAAAGACAGTTACATGTAAGCAACCTGCCTTTTTCATACATAATGTGAATGGTTACTGTGCTGTGCCTTTCCTACCTCGTATCCCGTAGTCACACATTTGCAGAGTAGCTACTCATAAGTACTTACCACGTGTCTCCATCTTCCTTCCAAATGGTGGCACATTTCCCATCATCTCCCATGGCTGGGAACCAATCCCAGTGCACACACTTTCCCAAGTACCCGAATACTGATATCTTTAATGTAAATAGATCCAAGACCTCAGCAGCTCACTAGCTGCTTATAATATAACTTATCACAGTATAGATTTTCATGGACTTAAGTCCACTTCTTTAGATCCATTAAGTTTTATCCTAACCAGCAGATTATTTGTTGGGAGGATAGTGGTGGTTTATGAAGAGTGAGTTTAGAAGGAAATGAAATGCAGAAAGTACAGACATTGACAGTTACACTGAAGTTTAATAATTCACAGAGCAGTATTGGAGATAACACTCGTAGATTTTGCTGTAACAAATGAACACAGCAGCTTCTCTGGAAATGGTATTGTTATATGTAACTATACATACATACATACATACATATGTATGTGCATGGTGAATTTCACTCCCCAAAATAAATCACTGTGGTCGTAATAGTTTGAAGCATAGAGCACAAAAGATTTCAGAGTTGTTACCATAAGCTTAAATGATAGATACTAACTTAAATTATGAAAAATAAATGGAAATGGAATTAATAGAAGGAAGCTTTTAAGAAAAACAAGATATAAAAAGTTGAAATACTAAACCTTTGTCAATAAACAGGCATTTTTTAATGTAATTCGGTCCTGCAAATGAGAATCTTGACCTTCTATCAAACCATGCTTTGCATTTAGCCATTATTAGAGCCTAAGTTATGGTTTGAATGTACAACTGCAGAGAAAAACCATGATTTGGAGCTGCTTATTTGCTGCAGGCGCCTCTACAGATTGAGCAAGCCCTAATTGTGTCTTTCCAACTCATACTTGATACCAACCCATTGTTTATCTTCCTCAAGGATCCTTTGGTGTTGGCATCTGAACAGAGTTATTGTAAAACCAGTTATATTAAGCATTCTTCTAGTGTAATTTGACTGGCCTTTTCATGTCACTTGTACCACTTTAAAAGAAAAACACTAGTTCTGATGTGCGAAAAGAACAGTTCTGGGGAGGCTTGTGTAATTTACTCCCAGTATTTTGTTGCCATGGAATTTAGGAAATAAGATTGTGCATTGTTTATAAAGATTTTTCATATATCACCTGTTTTATTTGAAATAGGCTTCATGGCAAAAAGGAAGATGCTAGGAAGTGGCATACACAGGAGGCGGTCTTCTATCCTGTGAACATGGCAGTGTATTCTGCCATTAGTACAACAGGAAGCTGGCCATTCTTAAAGCAACTAGAAACGAATGGAATTACTAGTTTCCAGAACAAGGGTCATCAGCAGAGATTATTTCTGCTGGAAGATAATTCCTGCCACCCAGTGAAGGCACTGTATAATAATTGCTCTTTTTACTCTGGTTTCCATTTCCCTCTTTTCTTCTGATGACTCCCATCTAGATTATAGGCCACTTACCGGGAGCATCCTGTCTTCTTAATCCTTTATAAAACTCCATATGGTTTCTTAATTTCAAAATGTACTATATACTGGAATAGTACACAGCAATGGCAGAGGAAGAGTATGACCAGAAGGCAATGAAAAAGGTGGATGCTGATTTGCTATACGAGTATAATTGCAGAAAATAGTCTTTTGGTATGTTGAGATACTGGTGGTGTTTGTGTGAATGGGTTATTCCACTGATTATTGCACTTGGAAGAAAGTTTACATACTTGAATATCTATCTATCTTGTGCTGAGCAGGATTCCTGTGGATGGAAGTAGAAGAGGAATTGTGTGCATCTGTTCTTCTGGACTCTACAGAAAGAGAAGTCTCCTCTGACTTCATAGGTAAAATTAATCTTAAATTTAAACCCTAAGTTTAAAACAGAATAAAACCTAAGTAATAACTAAGATAAAAATCAATAGCCATGCAAAGATCTAAAAACATGTTCAGCACAATTTTTATACTTAGGAGGCAAAAAGAGTGGGCAAAGAAAAAGGACTTTGCCAGGCATTGAAAAGTCAACAGTATAGGTGCAAAGGCAGCCTGTGGGGATGTCATTCCACAAACAGGTTGCCACAACTGAAGAGACCCTTCACTTTCCTTGACGGGGGTCCCTGGAGAAGGATTGCTGGCATTGATCTTACAGTCTGGGCAGTTGACATGGGAAGAGATGATCCTTCAGGTAACTTGGCCTCAAACTGTTTAGAGATATGAAGGTCAATTCTGGCACTTTGAATTGGGCCCAGGAATGGACTGGCAGCCACTGCACACAAGAGAGTACTGGCATAATGCGTTCATGTTGCCCAGTCTGTGTTAATAGTTGTAGCAAGAAGAGTTGAAATAAATAGTTACTGCCTTATTTTAGATCAGGTAAAGTTCCTGGATCATTTTCAAAGGCAGCCCCAAAATAACACATTGCAGTAATCCAGATGTGAGGTTCCCAGAGCATATCGTAGCTAGTATATCGCTGTCCTGAGAAGGACATAATTGGTTTATCAGACCACATTGTGAGCTGCCTATAGGTGTTGCGGTGCAGTGAGCAGCATACAAATGTTTCAAACAATAAATGTTGTGGTGCAGTGAGCAGCATACGAATGCTTCAAACAAATAATAAATAAATGTTGTGGTACAGTGAGCAGCATATGAATGTTTCAAACAAACGGTGCTCCGTGCCACAGAGGCAGCTTATTCTTCTAGTAACAATACAGGATGCAAGAGCACCTGAGAATATGAACCTGCAACAGTTCTCTGAACAGGCTGCACATCACTTACCTGGGCAGATGAACCACCCGTTAATAGTACCTCCATCTTGTCTAGGTCAAGTCTCAGTTCATTGGCTCTCATTTAGCCCATCCCTGACTCTGAATGCCCACTGCCTCCTCTAGGCTTGATGAAAAGGAGAGAGAGCTCTGGTTTTCATTCGCTTATATGTGACACCCAGCCCACAACTCTGGAAAACCTCCTCCAGTGGTTTCATTTAGATATTAAGCAGCCTGGGGGATAAAATGATAAATGGCATAACTGCAGAGGAGCAGAGCAATAATCCTCCGGCACCACCTTCTGGAGTAGGACTGGAACTGCTCCAGGGCTGTACTTCCAACTCTGAACTTGGGCAACCTTTCCAGAGCAACACCATGAATGCTGGGATGAAAAACCACTAAGAGGCCCAAGAATATCACTAGGGTCTTCCTCCTCTTGTCCCTCTAATGTCCAAGTTCATGTGATAGGGCAATCAGACCTAATCCTGATCAAAACGAATCTAAATAATTTATCCAAGAGTTTCTGGAGTTGGTTGGCAACCTCCCACTGAAACAGCTTGCTTAGGAAGGGGATATTAGCAACTACCCTTACAGTTATTAACATACTCTGGGTTCAAATTAGGCTTTTTTCAGGAGTGGCCTAATTACTGCCCCCATTAAAGTGGCCAACGAATCGAAAACTTCCTGAACTCAGCTGGCCACCCCTTTCCTATTAAATGCCATAAGCCACTAGGGAGAAGGATCAAGCACACAGGCAGCTGACTGGACCCAGCCAAGCACCGTCTGCATCCTCAGCCTTGCACAACTGAAACATATCCAACAAGATCGAGCCAGATCTTGCTCTGAGCTCCTTGACGGATGGAAACGTATTTGCGGTGATGTCCAAGTTATGACAAATGTGAATGACTTTAAAGCGTTGTGCAGACGTGCCACAGCGTGCTACCAAGGGTTCTACCCAACTCTTTCCCTCGGGCCCAGATAGCAAAATCACTCAGAGAAGCTCTGCTGAGTGGCACTGAGAAGACACAATACTGGTGGGCAAGAACTCCCTCCTTGCCACCCTCAGCGCCACCCAGTAGGCTCAGAAATGAGTTCCAACCTGTGTTTGGTTGGGCTCTGTATGAGTCTTCCTTCACGTCCCTCCCTTTTGAGTAAATAGGTATCTCTGTCCAGTTCACAGTTGCTGGGCCAGTTTGTTGATTTTTTAAGGTGATCCCTGGAGTAAAATTCAAAATATAGGCCAAGTTGGCACTGTTCCTGTAATCCTTTGCATCACTGTTTTTTTAGACTGATTGTATCATTGTAGTAAAGATGTATGTCTCCCAAGTCAGTCTAGTGGCATTAAGCAGTAGATCCTACCCTTCAGGTGCACTTAGTGGGATTCTTATGATTCATCCAAACCCACAAACCTGACATTTCTCTCTTCTAGGAAACTATGAGATCCCAAGTGAATATGATGAGCTTTCTCAAGGTGATGAGCCAGAGAATGTGCAACAGGATGAAATTTTGCTCCAAAATGAACAGAATCCCTCTCAGAGTCCCAGTGAGGCAGGAGCCTTTGAGGATCAGGAATGGAGGGATGGTTGCCAAGACCAGCCACAACAGGACTCTGTTGATCCAGGAGACAACCTGGGGCTCCTTCAAGACATCATCTCACCACCTGGGATTCCTTTGAGAATAGAAGCTTTCAGTTACACCGCATGTGGGGAAACAATCCAAAAGAATGCAAGTCTTGATGTCCAATCTGAGGTCTCTCCAGTGGGAGAGAAGCCTCATAAATGTACTGAATGTAGCAAAAGCTTTAGCTGGCGGTCAGATCTTATTAAACATCAAAGAATTCACACAGGAGAAAAACCGTACATGTGCAGTGAATGTGGGGAAAACTTCACTGTGAGCTCCCACCTTTTCACTCATAAGAGGATCCATACAGGAGACAGACCATTCCTTTGCACTGAGTGTGGGAAATGCTTCAGTCGGAACTCACATCTTGTTAACCACCAGAGAACCCACACGGGAGAGAAGCCCTTTGAATGCAGTGAGTGTGGGAAATGTTTCGGGGATTTTTCAACACTGACTCAGCACCAGAGAACCCACACAGGTGAAAAGCCCTATAAATGTGTTGAGTGTGGGAAAGGCTTCATACAGAGTTCACATCTCATAAGACATCGGAAAACTCATATGGGAGAGAAACCCTATACGTGTGCCGAGTGTGGCAAAGGCTTCCGATACAAAACCCATTTTGTACAGCATCACAGACTTCACATAGGATAGAAGAGGAGGAGGAAGTTTGCTCCCAGGTTCCTAAGAGCTTGTGAAAGATACTTAAATGGGCAATGAAGAAGAAAAGTGGAGTGTCCTTCACTGTAGTGAACAGAGCTCAGCACTGATGTTGGTAGCTCCATGCTTTATGTAGCAAACCTGTGTAATGGATGTAGTACAGTATTTGCCAAAGCAAATGTTTAAAACAGGGTGGGCAACCTGAGTCCTTCCAGGTGTTCTGGCCTGCAACTCATACCAGCCTTCACTAGTGTAACCAATGCTGGATGATGGGAACTGAGGGACAAGAAGACTGAAGGGCCACAAACTTCCCACTCGTTTTATAGACTTATGCTCATACTTCTCAGATGCATGCACATGGGTGCTTAAACACATGTACACACATGGGCATTTTGTCCCCTTTATTTGCATGTGGCTCCCTGGGAAATCAGAAGGAAGGCAAGCAGTAGTTTGCAGTGCGTAACATCTGGGTGAAGCCATGAACGCAGTTTGTGGACTGATAACTTGGGCTGGGGAAGGAGCGGGTAGACAAAGAGTGAGAACTTGGAACTTGGTTGCTAGAATACATTGACTGAAGTACAGTAGCAGAAACATATTTAATATTGTGCCTTTTCTTCAGACAATAGAAACTCTTGTTTGTCAAATTGATGGTTGATCTCAAATACCGTTTTTGGAAATGCCTCCTATTTGCATCTGCATGTGGAAAATTCCCCTCATTCTTTTATACAACATTTTCCATGATCAGTCTGGGGTTGAAAAAACGCATCATATAGATGCTATTGCAGGAGCTTAGCCAACTGGCCAGAGAGATAGGTTGAAATATAGCCATTTTTTGGAGACAATAATTTATTAACTACCCTTTCTCTGGAAGTAAAAAATTCCTCTGTTGTCCCATTTCTTATTTCTGACTGGTTTCTTGGTTGATGTTCCATATGGGCATTTGGAAACTTTTTAGAGGCAATCAGCAGATGATGAAAATCTGGCTGCATCCTGCGTATCCTAGTGAAGAAGGGTAGTAGCTCCAGTACCTTACATTGCTTAAAATCCAGTTTAGAGAATCAGGATAATCATTTTTAGGATAGAACCACTGGTGATCCCAACACACAGGAACAGGGTATACTGGAAAGAAAGCAAGGTTAACCACTGATCGTTGTGATACTCCTTAGGCACAGGTTTTCTTGCTTGGTTTGTTTAGTTTTTGAACATGGGAGCATTCAAGCTTGTTGGACACCCATCACCCCCGCCTGCATCATGAGGCATCACATTCTATGAAGTTCATTACCACTTGATTGTACTGGTTTTAAAAAATGTCTCTCAAACTTACTTAAACATGCACAATTGCTCCATAACTATGGATGTCTGGGTGAATTATTCCATAATTCATCCTGGTGGAACCAGAAAGACGCAAAAATATGCATGTTATTGCATGCAAATAATTGGAGCCAAATAATTCAGAGGTCAGCAGAAGCAGTCTGAGGCCTCAGAGGGGAATTGCTGGATGCACATGGCTGAGTTTAAATTCGAGGGCTCTGTTTGGGTTAGTAGGCTCCACTAGGACTTGGAGCAAGTGTTGGGGGCAGCATTCCCAAGCAGCTGCTGGGAGCTGAGGTGCCCTGTTCACAAAGTGGCTGCCAAGGCAAGTGTGGCTAGTCACTGGGGACCCACTTGCAGGGGTGTGGGCCGAGTCCTGAAACGCAAAGCCACTCATTCAGGACCTGCCCCCAAGCCCCCTCAGTACAAAGAACCATTGATCCCAACCAGGCATTTCTCGCAGCATCACTCCCAAACACAGTTTCCTCCTCTCTTTGTTACATGCACACAACACTTGCCCAAGTGACCCCCTCCCCACTTTGGCCCCCTCCACTCAGTCATTCCACACGATTTCCCCTCTCATTGCATTCGTCAGCCCAGCTGTCCTCACTTCCTCCAACTCCCCCCCATTTCAGTCCCCCCCCCCCCCCATTGGGTCACGTCTAGCCCAGCCCCAGTGACCTGCTCCCTCTCCATCTGATGAAGCCCAGGTCGCACCCCCAGCACTCTCCCAATTGTTCACTGCTGTTTCCAGGATTCCTCCAACCCTAACAGACAACGACAACCACATATCTCCCCAATTCCCCTTCCAGGAGATCTCCAGAATTAAGTACTCCACAGCTGCACTGCTGCTTGCAGACACGCCGCTGTCTTCTCCCAATATGAGGTGGACACTAGAGGAAAATCGTAGCTTAACTATTATTAATGCCACAGGTTAGTATTAACAACTATCAAACGTTGAAAGCCAAACCCTTCTGCATTAAATAGGCTTTCTGTCGGCCCCAGATTTCTACCTGTCCTGTAGCCACCAGGGTGGGCTCAAAGAAACAGCTCCCCTCTCCTTGTTTCTTGATCAGGCATCCTTCCCTTCTAACAGCCGTGTTGGGTGGGCCATATTTCTGAAAGGTCACTGTGCAGACACACGTCCATTGCCTCCCATGTGTCATCAGGTTATCTCACAGTTAACAAAAATGGAAGATCTAGTCACTCCTGAGGTTGCTGCATGGAAAACAGCGGAGAGGCTTCCAAAAATGAAGTGGGGTTGTGCTACTAGGCAAGAGAAAGCAGATAAATGATGGGATCACAAGCTGATGTGGCAATCTTCTACTCACATTAATAGGAGTTCAGCAAGAGCAATGCAGAGCAGATGGTTTGAAGGCTGCACCTTCAGAAACAAAAGTACTCCCTTTCCAGAAATGGGTTCTTGCCTCCATTTCTGTAGTACGCTTTATACCTCCTGCCCTTCATTGCTCTAGGATTCATTGTGTGCCTTTATATGCACATCCATGTGTTAACTAGCAAGAAAAAGGTTGCAGGTGACTTTGTCTAGCTACAGTATGTGGATGATGCTTTACGGGATTCTTGAGCAAACTTTTCCATTAAAATAAAAAGCAGATGAGTGGTCCCCAAACAGTATTTCTGCAGATTTGCATATTAAACAGGTGTACTGTTGGGTGGTTGAACTTCTACCCCAGCAGTGGGAATTGCTGTAATGAACTCAGCTCCTCCCCTACAATGCAGGGGCTTCCCGAGACCCCAGCTAGCTGCTGTGGTCAGCTACTTTGTTCCCTCCCACAAGGGAATAAATATTTGGACAAACCACTAATAGACAAACCACTAATGTTTCTTTTAATCCAGTTTTTTCACAATCTAGTTTTTACACTTTCTTGTGCTCTGTTTTCCCTTCCTGTCATAGATCTCATCGTATTTGGCTCCAGTGGCCTGTTCAGTGGTTGCCTTTCAGGAAAGCTGTTCTCTGTGGAATTACTTCAGCATACCACTGGCTGGTATGCTGCTTGGCTTCCTTCCATTTGTACCGGGGCACGTAGCCAAAATCCCTTTGGGCTTTCCTGTAAGAAAAGCTGAATGGGGTGTTGAGCAAAGTCAGAAGGTGATGATTGATGTGGGGAACATACCGCACAAAAGGCTGGAGTAAGAAGCGTATCGTCTCCAGCAACAGAGCATAGCAATAGAGCATCATCAGAGGCATGGGCAACCTGGATTCAATACGAAAGCCCAGCTCCTTGGTTAGCTCATAATTAAGATCTGAGTAACTCAGGTGGGGAGTATCATCGCTGATGTAATAGAAGCACCCTTGGACCTGTTTGACCTTTTGGGGGTCCACCATGGCTTTAGCCATTTGAATGTGAGCCCAAGCAGCATTCCCTACATAGACTGGATTTACAAGAGCCTCCTTCCTGGAGAGCCTCAAAAAGACGTTATTGTTTCGGATGCTTTCATCCAGATGCTGCAGAAGAAAAGGACTCCCCTCTCCGTAAATGTACATGGGCCTCAAAGAACATGTCACAAAGCTCTTGCCATCCTTCAGCACTTGGTTATTCATTGCTAATACACATTTCTCTGCCTCTTTCTTACTCTCAGCATAAAGAAATCCTTTGGTGTTCTGATAGACTGTGTCTTCATCACCATCATAGATGGGGTCACCTCTTGTGTTTGGACCTGTCACTTCAAGGCTGCTGGTATAGATAAAATACGGGACATCGTTGTGAAGGCAGGTGTCTAGCAGCAGCTGTGTACCTTTAGAAAAAGGAAGATGTCAGCCAGCCCAGCCCAAAACATTTTGCTGCCAGAGATGGAAAATGCAGGTAGTTGTCCCCCATCCTTGATGAGCTGTGATTTGATCTGCGTAGGACCCGTGAGAGCTTTGCCCCAGAGTACTCTGCGAGGGCCCTGCCTTGGAATGCGGGACCTCACCCTGTCCCCCTGCTGGGTCCTGGTGCAGCTAGGGAATGGTAGACCCCAGGCGTCCTGGTCTTATGGCCCAGCACTTTTAATTGTGAAGCACACCATTAAAACCCCCTCAGCCATCACTCCTGTGCTTTAGAGCCACTTTTGTATTCCTTCTGTCAGAACGTTTGCCACTCCTCATATCTTTTATAGCTATCTTTTTTAAAAGTGTGAGAAGCACCCTTTGTAGCAGAACCCGCAAGGCTTTTGGCGGGTGTTTAGAGGGCTCTCCCCCGCCCACCCCCGGTTTTCCCAACTGTGGATAACACAAAGTTACTTTTGTGCAAATCCAAGCTGTGGCCATTGCTCAATCTTTGTGCTCCTGCAGTGTCCCCTGGGAAACTGAAAGAGGACTGAGCAAGGAGAAGAGGCATCCCGTTAGGCACAGAATCACACCCGGTTTTAGCCACAGCGAGTGGCTGAAATTCCCAAGGGGGTTAATGTGTTGTGTGAACCCTGCCTCTGCCTTAACCTGCCTCTCCCCCTCTGTATCTGACTGTTCATGATCTCTTTCGCCATCCCTGTCAGGTCCGTCAAGGGCCACTCTCCTGACTCTGTTCGTGTGCCTTAAAGAGCACTCGCACATGCGGAAATGTGCTTTTTCTTGGGCATAGTGCAGAATATGAAGGCAGAGAAAGCTTTGTGTGTCTCATTTCATATTTGCTCATATTGCACTTAGTTACCGTTTCAGTGTCTGTTTTAGGGATGTTTTATGGGTCTGTTTTAATGACAATGTTTCATCTGGTTCTATGGTTGTGATTCATCATTGTTTTATTATGGTGCCAGCTTTCGTGCTCCACAGTTTAAAGGAAGCAGAGTGTTCCTCCCCTTAACACATCACTGGGGAGATGGGTCCCCACATTTCCATAGCAAGCCTATGCATTTTCTCTAACTCCTGAGTGGAAGCCTGCATGAGAAGCCAATGTTTCCTGAATGTTTGTGTTCCCATATTTTATCTTCCTGTGTTAAAGAAAAAACACGGCAGGCTTCAGTACTCTGCCACTGTCATTCTCAGAACATACATCTTAGTCTTTGATGTCAATTTCAAGCATCTTTGTGTCTGTTGGTATGCAGCCATGGAAGGCAGGAGCCATTCCCTTCTTCCTCTGTAGGCACAGCTTTGACCTTCCTTTACCCTCAAGAGTTTATTCTTTTTTTTTTTTTTTGGAAGGATTGATGTTTCCAAAACTGTGTTGCAAGCTGCCTGCAGTAACTATTTCTGTGGCCCATCTTTGCTTAATAAAGGAAAGGGAAGCCAAAAATGAAAATAGAAATTTAAATACTGCAGGATGGGGGGACCTTTTTGGAGTGACATGGTGACAAGGCTTCAGCTAACATTTATTGGCAAATGATTCAGCTGTAGAAAGAGCAGCTGTGTAAAATGGAGTCAATATATTCTAAATAGAATTCCTTTGCCATGAAAGAGCTACCATTTTCTGGGAGGGGAAGTCTCATACTGGTTACAGATGATATATTCCTGCTTCATTTTTACTTGAGGCATTTTCACAAGTGACTCGGCATATGTCTTTAGTCTCCAAGAGTCTGGATGAGGATAATGTGCAACGGACAGAAAGGAACAATTTTGGGTTCAAGTACATGTTTTTCCCAAAGTGACCTTTTCAGTTAGTCTATCAGGGGAATGCAAAAGCCAATTTCACCATTAGTTGTAAAACTGGCCCAGGAGTTGAATGTGCATCTGCCAGGCAATCTTTTGACATTTTAGCAGAACAGAGTGGTGGTGGTGATGATACAAACCTGTGTATGTTGTGCCCGGTGTCCATTTCAGAGCAAAGCCTCCGTGTTCCCTATATAATTAGAATTTCCTCATGCACCCAACTGGGGCTGGGAGGAGGAGAATAAATTACCTCATCCTGAGCTACTCTGTAGCCTCCATCCACTTTTCCATGCAAAACCTATGAAGGTGCAGTGATTCTCTAAACCAGAGAGCCCTCTGGTGTCCAGCTCATGTACTGCAGCCTATGGCTGTATCCTCATTGTCGCTTTGGCTGCTTTCCTGGTTAGCTGGAAGCCTCAGGATTGTTCCCCCAGTGCGATGCGGTAAGGGCCAGAGCCACATGTGGTCCTCTCCTGTCATCCCACTTTTGCTCTGCTGCTTTCACACTGAGTGGAAGGATGCTGGAGCACTTCCGGCCCAGCTATGCTTACATGGGCCAAGCAGGTTGTCGGACTGCCCCTTCCACCCTGACAGCTGGCATCCCACCTGCTATGCTGTGCTGGACTACCGATCCCGTTGCAAACTGTGGGTCACTGGTGATCAGGGCCATCCTTAAGGGAAATTTCTTACAGCACTGTGGGAATAACCGCCTTGATTATGAGATGCAGGAATCACCTATCCCAGCACCAGGATGAGATCACACTCCCTGGACAGACTCTAATGGATGCAAGAGAGTGTGGGCTGCAGTCCACATCAGTGTCATCCATGCCTAGAGAGAGCAGATGGCACGGGGTGGGGGGCAGGCCCCCTATTCCTCTGCACGCAGGGCCTGTAGGAAATAGAAGGACACAGTAATTCTGGGAAACTTCAGTCTCCCAGATATTAGTTGGGAAACTCACTCGGTGGTGACAGCCAGGTCATGTCACTTCCGAGATGCTATGGAGGGAGGGTGACCCTAGGTAGGGAAGGGAGGTTGGCAGCCACACAACACGGCTTCCACAAAAACAGGTCCTGCCAGACAAAATTTGTGGAATTCTATGACAAAGTTTCAAGGTGGATAGACGGAGGGGACACGGTGGATGTGATTTACCTGGATTTCAGCAAGGCCTTTGACAAAGTGACACATGATATCCTGGTTGAGAAACTGAGGAGTTTTGGGATAGACCAATGCACTATTTGATGGATTAGGGCATGGTTGATGAACTGAAAGCAGAGGGGAACTTTTAGTGGGGAATTATTGGGCTGGCAGCTGGTGACAAGCAAGGTCCCTCAGGGCTCTGTCCTGGGGCTGGTCCTGTTCAATCTTTTCATCAGTGACCTGGAAGAAGGGGTGAGCACTCTGCTCATCCAATTTGCAGATGATACTAAAATGGGGGCGGTGGCCACAAATGAGGAGCAGGTACTCCAGATCCAGAAGAATCTGGACAGACTATGAAAGTGGGTGGGGGACAACCGGATGGCATTCAATGTGGATAAGTGCAAAGTCTTCCACTTGGGGCATAGGAATAGGTGTCATAAGTACAGGTTAGGGGACAAGTGGCTGGAGAGCAGCACTTGTAAAAGGGATCTTGGGGTGCTGGTTGACTGTAGGCTAAACATGAGTCAGCAGTATGACGTGGCTGTCAAGAGGGCGATCCACTCTTGCATACATACCCAGAGGCATAGCTTCTAGATCAATAGAGGTATTACTGCCACTCTTTTTGACTCTGGTGAGCCTGCAGCTGGAGTATTGTGTTCAGTTCTGGCCCCCACATTACAGGAGAGATACAGCCAGTTGGAATTGGTGCAGCGCAGGGCCACAAGGATGGTGGGCGGATTGCAGGAAAAGCCGCATGAGGTGAGACTGAGGGAAGTGGGTCCTTAGGACAGTTAGGACCCCTATGGTATGGAATGGGCTTCCACGGGAGGTGTTTGAAGCCCCATCAGTGAGGGTGCTCAAGGATAGGCTAGACATGCACATGGTGGGCATGTCGTGAATGCAGCCAGCTAGAGCCGGGGGTCAGACTAGATGGCCCAGGAGGTCCCTTCTGACTCACTCTGTTTCTATGGATGCCATTGGTAGCTGTGCAGTTGCGCTGTTGCAAGCCACCCCAAGAGCATCAGCTGTTGGCCTGTCTAGAAATATCATCATCATCATCGCTCGAGGAGGGAAGCACAGCAGCTTCTTGCCCCTCCCTGACAAGCTGCATGCTTGGAGGTGCTGTGGCCTTCCCCTGCGCTGGCCACTCCTCCTCTGCTAGGCGCCACGCAGAGCAGGCCACTGGGCGAATGCAGAGGTGGCACGTGAGGCAATGCTTCCAATTCCAGTTCGGAAAGCTGGCGGACTGGGACAGGTTGGTGAATGAGGCAGGGCAGCAGCAGGCAGCAGGCCTTCCTGTCCCCCGTGCCACAAGCGCGGGGGGCCATGTCCAAGCTGAGGTGGTGGAGTGCTGGGACCAGAAAGTGGCCTGCCGTGAAGTGAGCAGTTGCCTGGGCAGCGCAAAGTGCACGGAGGGCTGCCTAACGGGACCGAAGGCTCCCAGCCACCTCCTGGGCTTGAGAGAAGGCCAAAGCAGCCTGGTGGTGCTGTGAACTGGGGCAGCAGATAGCAGAAGCCCTCTCTGCCTCCGAACGCCCGGCATGTACTGGACAAGCCCATTCAGCAGGAGGCACTGTTAAACCATTCCTCTTCCTGATGTGCTTTCTAGATGTGCTTTGGTTGGGAGGGAGAGCAAGGGAGAATTCAATGGAGGCTGTACCATTTCATCCCCCACTTGCCATCTGAAGTGGTACGATCCAGCCCGGCACTCTGCATCTTCGGCCCTCCCCTCCCTCGTTTTGTGCCGCGTGAGCCTCACTGTCTCACCACGTTCAGTCACACTGGCGTGCGCCTGTCACATCCACTAACTTTTTGCAGCTGGCATCGCAGGGTGAAGTGTGTCCGGCACTTTCAAGTCATTCTCATCTCATTGCTCTGCATATGCATGTCTGCTTTTGCAAAATGGCTGACAGGCTTTGGGGGCATGGGACGGTAGGCCTCAGGGTCTAGACTATCTTGCGGTGATGGCGAACCTGTGGCCCAAATCTGGATTTGGTGTTCCAGGAAGGAAGGCCTCCTCCTCTCATCGCTGATTTCTCCCCAGGCTCTGTTGCGAGCAGGGGAAAAATTAAGGCAGGGGAAGGCCTCCTGGCACAACTAGCACTTCACATCCTCTGTGCTCTTCCCTGTGAGGAACCGTGTGGGGAAAAAGGAACCAGTCTGGAGATTCACCCAATGCTAAACTTGCCCCATGTTCTCCCTGGTGGAGCAGGTCCTCTGGACTCCAGCCCTGGGTGTGGGGAAAGCACGGGGCTAATGAACCCAGCGAGGGACCCCTTGAGGTGCGCCTCGGTGTGCTCCATGCATGGGGCACTCGCCTTTGACCCACAGAGAGTTTGGAGGGTCCTCTGGCCCTTCTCAGTGTGGGTTGCCCACACCTGGTCTAGAGGCAGTTTAAAATATCTCTCCAGCAGAGATCTCAAGACATCCTTTGCCTGAAAGTGATCCCATCTTACCTCTGACATTGACGTCCCAGAGTGTGTGTGTGTCTACAGCTCCCATAGGGTCAAGGATGCAAGCTGCATGGATGACGAGGGTGATATCCTGGACAGCTTTTTGAAGAAGTGCCTCATCACGGATATCCCCTTGCATGAGCGTCAGGAGAGTCTTAGTCTTCACTTCTGGAACAAATAACAGCAGGCAGAGTGATGTTCAGCCAGCTGCCTCCAGTGTTCACGAGCGGACAGTGATGATCACCCTGCTCTGGTTAACGGAGAACCTTCCCTGTTTGTGATGGAGCAGAGAAAGGACAGTGACCCCTTGTGGAGAACTGGATGCTGGAGCTAATACGTTGCAGGCCCAGGGCACAACCCAGCATGGAGCAAAACACCCTTCAGCCTGGTGGTGTCAGTGGGCCGAAGCATGCCTCCTTCTGTGCTGGACCGTGGCCCATCTCTTTAAAAGGGCATTGTGTGCATTACTCTAATAGGCACACCTCAGCGGGGGGTAGAACTACCCATAGAAATGCAGGCAACTAAACACCTTGCAGTATGGGGCTTGTGTGATAAAATAGCAACCCAGTGGGATAGCGACTGATAGGTTAGTGCCCTGTTTAGTAACAGGTGGCCAGGAAACACAGGTCTGTAAGAACCCCACCCTACCCAGCTTTAGCTTTCAACACAAAGTTTGAATACCACATTTCATCTAAAAATAGTCTCCTGCAGAGTATTTCATCTGTCTGTGCAGATAAAGCTGGCTTGGTTATCAGCCACTGCCTAGATAATGTCTGTTAGTCTTGATTTTTTGGAGTAAGAGGCCAAGGGCCTCCCTTCCTCCCATTTATGTCCCAGGCCAGGAATGCCACATGGTCAGAAAATGGGGCCCTGTCTCTACAGCACATGGGCCTGCACTGCCTGCTGCGTGGAGGGAGGAGGAGGAGGAGAGGCAGGGCCCAGGGAAGGCCTTTCCAATTAAGGGCAATCCACCTGCACAGGACAAAATGTTACCCTTTACTGCAGCATAAGGATACATATGTGGTTTAGATAGACTGTGATCGGATGAACCTAATAGGAGTTCTGGCTGGGTCAGTTCGCTCTCTATATAATTATGACAAGCTGTAGTACTAAACAAGCAGGGCAATCCTGTTATTTGGCTGGAGTGTTTTGTGGCAGGCATGTGCCAAGCTGCCTGCCATTCTCCCTCTGTTTTCTACTAAAAGGGAAGGGGTAACGTAGATCGCAGGCTCTGGGTCCAGTACAGAACTTCAGCTGTCTCTCTGATAAGGTGGGGCTGGGAAGGGGGGGTGCAAGGGGGGAGTCTCAGCCAAGGCTGTAGCTCTGCCTCTGCCCTGGGAGGACTCCATCTTGGGGCCCTCGGATGGCTGCCTGAGGGAGAAAGAGCCCTTGCCAATCAAGGGCTCCTGTGCCAACACTTCAGAGCGCTTGGTACAGCTCTTCTGTCTTTTCTCCTTTCATGGATTCTTTGTTAATAAGGAAAAGATGGAAGAGGTGATGGGAAAACTCAGGAGATCTACAAACTGAAGATAGTGGTGATTGGACCCCCCCGCTGCCCCCCCCCAATCCACCAGTACATTCTGCAGGTGAGGCAGGGCTAGTGCATGAGAAAAGCTGCATCTGCAAGCATCCATAAACATGCCGAAGGGTCCTGGCCCCATTCCTGGAATGGTGGGGAATCACCAGGCAACCTTCTTGGCACTGCCATGCTAGGCTCACCAGCCCGCTACAATGCTGGCAAGAAAAAACCAGAGCGAGCAAGTCCGCTGCGGGGGCCAAGCCACAGAACATCTACAGTTTATTCCAGTCATACAGGAAATATGTGCAGCATGTAGGCAGCCCCGTGAAGGGACTACCATGACGGAGTCTGTACAGAATGCTTTTATAGCCTACCTTTGCAGGAGGGCTGGGGGATCAGGCAGGCAGTTTACTAGAGGCACATGAGAATAAAACAAAGGGGTTGAATGGGATTAAGGCAACAGGATACAAAAAGAAGGACTTCCAGGACGGGCAAACATGAGCATTTCAGGCATCTCAGCTTAAGTCTAAAGCTGTTCTTACAGTGTCGGGCTTTTAGTAGCCATATTATGGCACAGCTTTTGCTCATTTTGTCCTGAAAACGCTTACCCCAAACTCTCCTCCTTGTGCCATTTCTGCCATTATATTCCAGATTTCTTCAGGCCTCTTATGTCACCGCTTCCTTACAAGATGCAAAGCTGAGGCACTTAAGTCTGGGGAAAGGACAGGCTTCTTGAACAAGCCAGCAGCAGCTCTGTGGAGGAGAGAGGTCCCGCGTGCCTCCTGTGGTGTCCCCCCTCTCTCCCTCCTCCTGCCTGCTCTCTCTCTGACTTGCCTGGTGAGTAAATGCAGAGGGACACGCCACTCTCCTCCTTTGCAGGGAACAACTAGCTGGAAATGGACTAGTCGCATCTCTCCTCAGAAGTCAATCATGTCGTCTGCAATGGCATTTACTCTTGGAAAGTTGAAGGAATAGGGCTGTGCTCGGTTAGAGGGAATGAGGCACTGATCCTGGTGGGTTAATGCCATGGAGGGTCGGAGGGTAGCAGCAAACAGCACCCCAGCCTCCCCTCCCCCTCCCGTTGTTGGGGAGGGGAAGGAGGAGGTCAGTCATTCCCCTCCCACCCTTTAAAATATCCCCTTTCCTCAACTGCTGTGATACAGATTAGTAAATGACAGTATTGCCCTGACCCTGATAGCCTTGGCAAAGCCTGCTATGTTTGTTTTAAAATTTAGTTGCGTTAAATGAAGCATTATTTGTGTAGCTGGCTCTAAGGGTCTCTTCCTCAGGTGGCTGTCAGAAATGTTTCCCTCTAGCAAGGCTGCATGATTATTACTATTATTATTTACACCATTTATATATTTATTATTTATTTATTTATTAAAACATTTTTATGCCGCCCCATTCGCCGAAGCCTCGGGGCGGCTTACAACAATAAGTTAAAAATAAATAACATTAAATTAAAAATATAAACATTAAAATTAAAAATACTACTCCATTAAAAATGGAGAATATACTACTCCATATTCTGCTGTGGAGATTTTGGGAGTGGTGAGCAATAAAAGATAAAGCAGGTACAGGAACAGAACAATGTGTTAAAAACAAAACAGATAAAACCATGGCTGGTGAAGTCAGAAAGTCTTCCTGAAGCAAAAGTGTTTTCAGGGGGCAACAAAAACAGTACAGCCCACCTGACTTCCAGAGTGCCCCCAATGCCAAAATGGAGCCAGCCCCCTGAGGGCTGTTCTTCTGGTGGGTTCCAGCTGGGCTGTGTTGGGAAAATTTGGATAAATCCTGTCAGAAAAACATTACTTCTGTGTGCGTTTGCATTGTGGGATCAAATCCTGGCAGGAAGGTACCACCACTTTGAGAGTACTGCAGAAGCAGCACACACAAAGCCTCTAAGCATGTGCAGAGTTCAAAGTACTTTGGGAAGCAGCTCTGCTTCCAGCCACAGATTGGCAGGCGGGCTTGCACTATGTTCTCAGAAGAAGTCTTTGAGTCTCTAGAAAACTCTCAAAAGAAATCTTGGTGTCTTAAAAAATAATAATAATAAAAAAACTTGTGTAACTGAGGCAAGGCATTTGAGGTTCTTTGAGTGTTCAAAGCTTGTATTGCCCCAGGAAAAATTCTGCCTGGGAAGGTTTGGGTTAAAACAAAGACCCTTAAGCACTCTCAATGAGTAGCTAGGGGATTTTTTTTTTTTTTTAAGGAAGGGAATCCTTCCAAAAAGCAATGTTGTGAGCAATGATTTGTGTAAGCCATCAAGAGTTTTCCCTCTCCAATAACTTCCATTTTCCTATGCAACATGGATCTGGGTCTTATATATTTGTGTGTGTATAAGTTCTGAATTCTGAGTATACCATCTTGTTACTGCTTTGCTACAACTGAATGATTGGGAGGGAATGGATGGAACTCTGGGGCTGCGTATGTGTGTGTGTGCAAGCGCATGCAGTGGGAAGAATTTCTTTTCAAATCTATGAGGCTACTTTTCCCTCTTGAGTTCAACAAAAAGTTTGTTTCCTTTTTCCCTTTTGCAATGTTGCCAAGTATTAAAGATAATGATAGTGCTATTGTTGTTACTGTTATTGATGGTGCTAAAAGAAAGTTTTTCTTACAGTAGCCTAATGTTTGTTGGGGACTGAGCCCGTTTGCCAGCCCCAGGATGTGGGCAGCTAAAATGGCAAGTTCTCAAAACTTCTTTCCATGAACATAAGCACTCATACGTTCATCTAAATGTGCAAGCATTGATTGTTAGATGAAATGTCCGTTAGTTCAGGTTTGTTTGTGTTAACAATGGGTTGGTGCATTTTATATCTATGTGGGAGAGTATCATCTCTGTAATAAATTGTAAAACTGTTCTCATTGTCCAAAGTCCAGCAGAAAGCACATTTCTCTTTAATCTAGGCAAGCAACAGGTTTGTGCAACACCAGGTCAACAAATAATTTCTTTTGTGTGCATTTTGGCATTGGTTGGATTGATTTCAGCAACCCAAATATTTTCCTCTTGAGACTGTGCCAAAGAGACTCAAAAAGGACATAGACTTTACATCTTGAGGTTTCTCTCGAAACTCATGTGGATCTCTCTGCCACTGCCTACAACCAGCTTCTGTGAAGAAATGTAAAAGCCTTTTTCTTCTTCTTAATTAACCTTTTTTGAGCTGCACCTTTCCAGGAACCAAACAGCCACGCTGGCACTCCAGAAAAGAAAAAAGACCCCTTTTTCTCTACAGCCCTGGAAGGAAAAGCTCTCCATGTCCCATGCTATGCCCTGGCTCCAGGAACTGCAGTGACTGTGATGGGAATCCATTCCTGTATTCTGCCTTCCTCCATTGCATCATCCACAAGGAAAGAACTAACCAAACCAACCGTGAGATGTAAGTTCTACAGCTAAGAAGCTTGAGTGAAGCCTAGACAATGAAATCTTGAAGAATTGCCTAAAAGAGCAAGACAAATGACTGAACTGGACATCAGGCCATTGCCTCATCTCACACTGCTCCCACCTTGCAAAGCAGGATAAGCCAAGTTTGCTGACCAGAAGGGATGGTGGCCCAAGACAGGATATTCATCTCCGTGAGGGCCTCAGCCCAGACAAGGATGAAATTCTTAAGGCTGCAATGGGTCAGAGGAGGCCTAGGGAGCAAAGGAACCAGAACTCAAAATTGAGTGGCAAAACTGGAAAGGGGTGAGGGAGCAGGTGAGGATGAGAGCTGCCTGGCACTGAGTTCTTTGCAGCCAAAGGGGAGCCAAAATCAGCATGGAGTTTCCCAGGAGGACTGATAGCACTGGGATTGCTTATCATGTGTTTTGAACTTTCTTTTTTTTTTCTTTCTCTTTGCTGATTTGTCAATTGTTTCCCGTTTTTCGTACCCTTTGAACTCTCAGCAAATACACAAGTCTCCATTGTATGAAATAACTTTTTCCTCACACTAGTTTAGTTTTGAGATGGAAGCTGTTTTCTGAGAAAAAGGAAGCTTGGAACAGGATTTATCCAAACTGACTCACTTGTTTGTGTCACATAGCGAAGCTAGTGACCGGGGGGGGGGGGGGGGGGGGTTGTTGGGGAAAATTTGGATAAATCCTGTCTGAAAAGCATTACTTCTGTGTGCCTTTGCATTGTGGGATCATATCCTGTCTTCCTTTTCAAAACCAAGCTCTCACTGTTTAAAATGGCATTCCCCTGCTCCTTTCTCTCACCTTTAGCTGTAAGCTACAGTAGACAGACCATTTAGTCCAAATATACATTGTAAATAGTCATTGTTGGAATTCAGTTTACAAGGAAGTATCTTTTGATAGCCCAGAGGCTCTATGTGCCCTGGCCAATTCAGAATGTCTAGAGTAGGTAAGAGCCTTGAGTTCATGCATAGTTTTATTAGCTTGAATTTACATGTCTAAGCAGACCTGGAGATGGGTTCAAGCTACTGAACTAAAGTGTCAATACAGGCAATTGGAAATATTGTAATCTCATTGTAACAGTATGATTGACTGACATTTCTTTATCTGTTCTGTATGTGATGGCCTTAGAGTCTTATTGTAATCTCTGCATTCTGTCATCAGTTGCCCTGTACCTGTGTACCTATAAAGTACCCTGCAATGTGTTGAAGCTTTGCGGCAGAGTTCATCTCTGCCTGCCCGGTAATGCATGCATTATCCTGAGAGTCTACCGCGGGAACCTTGGGTTAATACAATAAAGCCTGGATGGTCTGGACGCTTGATCTTTCCCACGAACCCGAGTTTTATTCCCTCTTCTCAAATTGAGATTCTGGGATTCTGACAGCAGTCCATCTCTCTAGCAGGATTTGGGCCTGAGGACCCAGTGTGTGTGCATGGAGGGTCATTGTCCAGCAAGCACAGCTTGGGGCATTGCACAGTTCTGTCCTGAAAGCAAGCAGGAAGTTAATGAGCTTGCCTCCAAACTTAAATTATAGTAATCATTTCTAATTATACACATATTTGTGAAGGATCGCTTTTGGTCTGCAAGCTTAAGCCTTTGATCTGTTTTGTACCTAGTACTGCCCCAGTCATCAACCTGGGAAGGGAGGTTCCCCTGCTGAGAAATCCTCTCAAGGTGGATTCCAGCACCCTTCTGCCAGGGGCCAGGTTTCTCTCTCCCATCACAAAGAACCACAAAGCATTACTTACTTCCAAAATTCTGCAGTGCCTCAGAGCTGACTGCTTTGTCCAAACCTCGGACCTCAGCTAGGCTGTCTTCTTCCAGCAGCTGGCAAACTATCCTTTCACCAAGAAACCCACCAGCTCCTGTCACCAGACACCTCATTCCTGCTAAGGACATGGTAGAAAGCGAGAGTTCCTTGCAAGGGTAGCCCTTCCTTCTGAAAGAAAAGAAGAAAGGTCAGATGGGAGGGAGGCTGGCTGGCTGGCTTCAGCAGTTCAAGTCTCCGTGGGGGAGACTTGAGCATAAAGGCTGCCCTGTTGTCTGCCTGCCACCGTAGCTCAAATGCACAGAAACACTTAGATTAAGCAAAAAGGTAACCCTTACCTCTGCTTTACTGTGGAGTCAATTAAGCAAATGAGTCTTTTGATGTGTTCCTGGTCTAAGCTCATAGGGGAGCAACTGAGAGTACTTGCTTTTTGCCTTGCGCCTTTTATTTTCTTTCTTTCCTGTCCTCTCCCTGGGATTGGTCAAGCCCCCAGTGAAGTCATGCCTGTTATCTCCTCTGGATAAAAACCTCAAAATGATTGATGGCTGAAAGCCTGCATAAAAGCTACTCCTTCAATCAAGTATTGTTTGTTCCTGTGTTCCTCTTAAATTTCTTGGTGCTAGTTGGATTCCTTGAAAAGCAACATGTCCTGAGTGAAATAATCTCAGAGTTTCCCCAGGAGGGATTTTGCATTCCTGAGAGCAGGAAATGAGCCCAAACTTGTGGCTGAACAGCAAAAATGAGGTGGTGTCTTCTTTAAATTAGAACTAGAGGCACTTTGTATTCAGAATATCCCCTGCCCCTCCCTTAAAAAACAACAACATGACTGGACTTGAAGCTCATCCTAGTTTCCCTGCTGAAATGTATGTGAGGGGGCTTCTTCCCATGGGGGGCAGCTGCTGCTTGAAACAGAGCAGTATAAGAAAAGCTTTACCATTGGATTCCACAGTATGCACTGTTTCTGAAAGAGCACCTTTGAAAGAAGAACCTCACAATCCAGCGCTCAAGGTTCAGGCAGCTTTCTCAGCAACCTGCAAAGGAGCCAATTCACTCTCCTGTTTCGCTTAATGTGTCACTCAACCTGTGGTCTGTTGTGTGAATAGTCTGTAAGTAGCCCAGAAAAATTCAAGGCAGGGAGACTTGGAGGAATTTCACAGAACAGCTGGATCAGTCTAACCCTCTCCTAGTGCAAGATGCCACTTACTGTGAGAAAAGTCCTGCAAGATTAGAGCAGAAGTTGGTCCTGCTTCCTACCCAGCCCATGCAGGTGCCACTGGGAAGTCCACAGTGGGGGCATCAGGACACACGGCTGCTGCCTCCCTCCCTCCCCCTGCCCTCAGAGCAACTGGTCTTCTCTGGCATCTGCCTCTGAACCTGCCATGACTTGCAGCCCCCGTAGCCGCCTCTCCTTTGAACCCTGTCTGCTCCTCAGTTCAAGCCACCTGCTTTGCAGGTCATCCACACATCCTGTGGCAGCAAGTGTACAGTGTATAATTCCTTCTCTTTGTCCTGAATCTCCTCATTCTCCCCATCACCAAATGGTCCTGTGTTTTACTGGTATGAGAGGAAGAAAAACCCCTCTTCACCTTCTCCAAATCGTTCATTCTTTCTTACGATTTTTTCCAAGTTAAAAAGCCCTTAAAAAGTCCTCCTTTGAAGAGGCGATGTTCTGAGATCGCTGCTCTCCCAATGGGGATATTAATGGTAGATAATAGGGATTTGGATTAGGAAGTTGGTATTGTCTTGTTAGGGCACTTATCATTTTTCCTTTCCAAATTAGTATTTTCTTGGTTCTAATAAGCTGGGGGTTTTCACTGATATTGCGGAAAAGATGTAAGGATGAGCTTAAGCAGAAAAAAGCATGAAATGGCCTTTTTATTGCAGGCAGTTTTGGGATAAACAGAAAGCACCGCAGAGCTCCCGTTTGCCTACTGCTCACTTGCCCTGCAGCTCCCGTGACTGGTTAGCACCACACACATGCTTTCTGCAGGCTTCAGATTTCTATCGTGCTGCACAGCATTCAGTGCAGACTGGAGCCAGGGTGATGGGGGTTTGGTACCACACAAGACCTCTCTGCTCGTTGGGTTCTTTTCTGTGTCCCGCTTCTCTGCTGCTTCTGTGAAGGGTTGTTGTGCAAACCACTGTCTTTCCAGAGCTACGAGGAGATGGCAACTGGAGGTATCGAAGCAGACGCTACAGGGCCATGTGTCAGGGATGCCTGACTTGGCTCCCTGCACAGAGCAGGGATTGGGCTACATGATCTCTAAAGTCCTTTTCAGCTCTATAATTCTTCAATGCTGAAGTTGGTTCTTAGTTTCCAGTTCCTTACTTGTGTGAAAGTTATAACAGAGTTTAATAACAAAACTGGATGAGGATTTAGAATTAATACTTCTTGAAACCCAAAGCAAGCTTTGGATCCTCTCCATATACAATCTCTATGACTGGGGAGATGGTCACGAATGCATAGCAGCCCCAGGTACAACTAAGGAAGAGGGGTGCGCTTGCCACAATAAGCTGTGGGCCAGTCTGCATCTCCAGGGGATTATTCTTTACCAGATGGCATTGAATTCTGTGCAGCCCAATGCCTCACTTCAGCACATGAAGCCTGGCACCCCATGGCAAGCAGACCTGAACATATGCTGGAAAGAATGCACACTGGGCCACCCCATATCACACACCAGCCTGCTTATTTTATTTATTTGTTTAATTTTTGCAATGCCCAACAGTGGTTCACTAAACATGTTAACCCCGCATAAAAGATATATTGTATATAAACATAAATCATCATTCAAAGTTTTACAATACAAAGTTTAAAACCACACACACAAACAACAACAACTCATTAAAGGCGACAAGCCACAATGCATTGTCATGCTGTCAGAACCCGCCCTGATTCCCACAGGATGACTTATATGGGGCAACAAGCCAACCTGACAGCCGATGGTCCCTTCCAGGGTTTGGTTGAGCCATGTGTCATCTGAACTCAGAAGAGCAACTTCATCCAGGGCTACAGAGTTGCTTGCCAGGAGCAGCAAACCCACCACAGCTCGTCTCTCTGCGGGTAAACGTGCTTCCCACACCATGCTTTTTATCTAGATTTAGGGCTGGCAGGAGGAAGGGGAAGAAGCTGTGGCCCCAGCCCCCCTCCTCCAGTAACCCCCCCCCCCCAGGACTTCAGGGAGCGGCAGCATGAATGGTTCTCCCTGCACTGGCTGCGATGGGGAAGTGGCTCAAACGTTGGACTCTGGTTCCTGGTTCCCAGACTCCAAAATACCCTATGGTCTCCCAGACCATGCTGGTAGGTGACAGAACTGGGGCTCAACTCTCTTGCAGAGGAACAATCAGGGCTTGTCTTCTCTATCCCATTCTCAGTAGGGTAAAGATAGAATCAGAACTCCTCATGACAGCCGCAACCTCACACCCCTGTCCAAACCTACGCACTTTGACCGCTGCTGAACTCAAAGGGACCTGTGACCACTTGCTCTTTTACAGAATCAGGGCGGAGCTGCAGCTTGGTGGCTGAGCACCACTTTGCAGGTTTGATCCCTGGTATTGCCAGGTAGGGCTGGAAAAAACCCTGCCTGGACCCTGGGGGAGGCCCTGTGGGCAGCATGGCATGTGGCTTGTGAACACAGAGCTTGGCAATGCCCCAGGGAGCCCCAGCAGGAAGGAATGATCCTTGGGGTCCTCTGGTGTTAGGAAAATTTGGATAAATCCTGTCTGAAAAGCATTACTTCTGTGTGCCTTTGCATGGTGGGATCAAATCCTGTCTTCCTTCTCAAAACCAAGCTGTCACTGTTTCAAATGGCCTTCATCCCCCACTCCTTTCTCTCACCTTTAGCTGTGGGCTACAGTAGACAGGCCATTCAGTCCAAATATACATTGTAAATAGTCATTGTTGGAATTCAAGGAAGTATCTTCCTAGCCCAGAGGCTCCATGTACCCTGGCCAATTCAGAATGTCTAGAGTCTAGATAAGGGTCTGAGCTTATCATGCATAGTTTCTCAGTAGCTTGAATTTACATGTCCAAGCAGACCTGGAGATGGGTTCAAGCTACTGAACTAAAGTGTCAATTCAGGCAATTGGAAATATTGTAATCTCATTGTTACTGTGTGATTGACTGACATTTCTTTATCTGTTCTGTATGTGATGACCTCAGAATCTTATTGTAATCTCTGCATCCTGTCATCAATTGCCCTGTACCTGTGTACCTATAAAGTACCCTGCAATGGTGTTGAAGCTTTGCAGCAGAGTTCACCTCTGCCTGCCCAGTAATACATGCATTACCATGAGTACCACGGGAACCTTGGGTTAATATGATAAAGCCTAGATGGTCTGGACACTTGATCTTTCCCACGAACCCGAGTTTTATTCCCTCTTCTCAAATTGAGATTCTGGGATTCTGACACTGGGGAGCCTGAGTTCACTTCCTGGCCCACACACAGAGCTAGTGCCCCCCATGCTTATTCTCCCCACAAGCAGATATTACACGAAAGGGAGGTGGACATGAATAGGATTACATGGTTCATTGAAGGGGAGTTTGGTCTGGTGCATTTGACCCACAGTTTTGAGAAAGGCCTAACCACCATTTTACAGCCCCAATGGGACAAAGCCTCAACTCATTTTCATCCATTAAAAATGAAGAAAACATTCTCCCAAATCCACCCTCAGCCAGTATTAAACAATCTGCTCAAACCCCCATCATCCAGAGCAAATGATTGTATTAGTTTAAGGAGGAACAATCGAGTTACCTCCTCTCCTCCCACTTCTCCAGCACTGCTCAGGCTTTACACATTTACCTTGGAGTAAATCTCACTGAACTCAATGGAGTTTGTTTCCAAGTAGACCTGCATAGGATTGTTAATTGATTATTTTCCCATCCACAGAATATATTTAAAAGCAACATGAGTGGAGAAAACTTCTTGGAAGAAACCTTACTTGTCCATCTCACTCCCAAATTCTGAGGCACAGTGGAGGATTCAGCCAGAGATCACTGCCTCAGATCACTGGTACAGAGGAGGGGGCTTTGGGGGGTTGAAATGTGTTGGGAAAATTCAGATAAATCCTAGCAGAAAAGGGTTGTTTATGTGCCTTTGTGTTATGTGCCTGCACCCCTTTCTCAGAAAGCATCCCAAATTCCAATTTATTTATTTAGACAGCTTATATGCCGCCCCCTTTGCATAAGCCTCGGGGCGGCTTACAATCATTAAAATCCCACATATAAATACAATAAATACATAGAATACATAAAATACATAACCAATCCAGGTTACTGTTTAGCATTTGCTGGGACCTGATGGCTTCCCCAAGAAGCTGCCAGGGCTATTGTTTGTGCAGATCAGTAAGAACTGATAATGCCGCCAGGTTAACAGCATTGCAGTCACCCTCAATTGCGTGCCAAGACCCACAGTAATCCCTGTGCCTCTGTGATGGTTATGTTAATCTCCTGCAATTCAATGGAATGCCATTGTACGGAGCCCCCTCTGCAGACCCCACACCTTCTTCTGACTGTTTCGTCATCAACTGCCCAGCTGCTGGGCCCATGTGACTCAGAATCTATAAAACACTCTGTATTTGTTCTAAAAGCTTGTAGTTGGCAGTGAGAACCACTACCCGGCTGTATGCCAGAGTAGGTAACTCCAAGGGCCCTGGGTGATCTTTCAATAAAACTGCGGAGGTTCAGGGCAAAGGGGGCCTTTCCTGACTGGACTTGTTTATCCATGTTGCGGCTGCCATCGAGGCTTTCCCGACAAGTGCCCCCCACTTATTTTGGAGGGGGCCCTCAGGGGGTCTCTGGTCACTGCCCCTCCCCCACCTCTCAAGAGACTCAATTTTGGTGGTTCATGGCTGGCAGCTGCCACTGTCTTGAAGTCCTGCATTCAACAAATTAAAAACAGGGCTATTTTCCCAACGGTTCCTGGGAACTCCATACTTGGAGAGGCCTGCCAGGCATGCCCATGTATTTTCTGTGACACTTCCTCTCACGGTCAGCCTCCCCATGGCATGTTTTCAGATAGTAAGCCTGTGGGCAGGAACTGGCTTATTCCACCGAAGTCACTCTGGAAGCTTTTTGGCTGGAAAGCAGGGTATGGATGCATTTTTAAATGATCTTTTAATGATCATTTTTATGGATGTATTTTAATGATCTTTTTAAAAAGATCATTCATTCATAATAAACACAATAATAAGAAATTACTTCTAAAAGCTGTCATTGTTTCGCCTCAAAAAGAGATACCCTGATCTTGCATTAATTACTCAACAGAAATACAGGCAAAGTCCACATTCATTGTATAGTCAGAGGCTGCATTACCTTGGAAATAGGTGTGGCATGGGGGCGTAGCTTTGAGGGGCGTGGCTTTGAGGTGTGGCTCCGACCATCCTGAAGGGACCCCCCCATTTCTAAATTTGCCACTACACCACTGCCTGAGATGCAACATCAGATGGGGTTCCCCTCCACTCAAGTCTTAGCACAGAGGTTGAACTGAGAAAACTCTGTAGCCACGTTGTTATAGGATCTGCAATTTGCGCATGCACCGAGGCAGCCTTTGCCTTATCATTCGAACTTGATGGCTGGCTCCAGACAACATGACAGCCCACTGTGTCTTGCAAGCCTTTGTGAGCTAATGCGTCATCCGTACCTGGGCTGCTCTTGTGGAATGTCTTTGGGAAAGCTTATAAAGCGCCCCAGGTACCCTGGTCTTGCTGGAGCATTTAAATAACCCACCATGGCTTGCATGTCTTCTGAGCCGGGGTAACGCACTAAGCCACAGTCACACTGAAAATCAAAAGTTCCTTGGCCGGAGAGCCAAAAAGGCACCGCTGCTCTGGCCAAGGGGTTCCAGCTGCTGCCAGCTGGGAAAGCGCCACTTCCCAAGCAGTCCTGCTCCCCCACCAACATTGACCCCCCCAGCAACTGCCCACTCAGTTCCAGCATTATTTCTGAGACCTGGGCTTGGCTGTTGACATTACCACAGTCCTGCAAACTAGCAAAATTAGCCTAAATAATAATAATAATATCACCGGTTCTTTGTGCATGTTATTTGCGCATTCTCCCCCATAACTCATGTAACCCCTGTAGGGCCACTGCAGGGAGTTCCAATCACTGTGATAAATTGTGGTGATATTGTTGAGCCAACAACCTTGAACTTCTTTTAGATTGACATCATATTATTTTTACATCTTATCTAAGAAGTTGTAACTCTTCCAGCAAGGTCTGTTTTCAACAAAACATGCAGAAAAAACCCAAGCGAAGGACACTGGGAGATTCAGGGCAGGCATGCTTATCTCAGAGAAGGCTGCGGTCTCATCCGAGCAAGCAAGAGAAAATTTCCTGATGGCTAAGCTGAAACAGCATGTCAAAACGAAGGTCTTCATCTGCATAACCACTTGGCACCTTCCTCCATGACTCAGGAGCCATGGCAGCACGTTCCTGACAACCGGGGATGAAACTGGACTTCTCCCCTGGGTCCCCATGTTTAGGGCAAGATGAGAAGAAGAGCAAGACAGCTGGGGCTGGAACAGATCAGCATGTCCATTGATTCAGGGCACGTTGCCATAGCTGGCCTCAGGCACACCTGAAGATGCTTTGGTGCTGCACAGCATATTGAATTCTGACTACTCCACAGCCTGGCCTTGGCAGCCCTTGCACTGCTTGCTGGCAAAGGAGTGACTGAGCGGCTCAGGCCTAGCAGAGCTTATGGCCACCATCCATGAGGACTGTACTGCACAAGTCCTAAGCACAGAAGCAGAGCTACACAGGAGCATACAAGGAGACCGTGTGCTGTGCCCGTTCATGTCAAGAAGGCATACCTAAGAGGGGTGGGGTGTTCTGCTAATGAACTTGCAGAAGAGCCGAATCGTCAGTTGCTCTCTGCTTATCTCTCAGCTCAGGTTGCATTCCAGTACAGTGCAATCCTGTGTGTGCCTAGCATGCCCAGGAACCACTGTGTTCAGTGGGGATCACTCCCAGCACTGGGCATAGGACTGCAGCCACAGGGTGCCAGCCCACCTCCCCTGGCCATGATGCATGTAAGCCCCAGACCTGGGTGCCTACCTGCAGTCGACACCCTGAATGAGATGTGGCAGTGGGAATCTTTGCCATGTCTCCTGCCCTGGAGAAAGTGCTGGGGATCTCTGTAAGCTGTCCACCTCTGCCTCCTCCCCTCCCCACGCCCCGGCACCCCTATTTTTCTTCCCTCTGAGGGGCACCTGCAACCTCAGGGGGGAAGCTGGCAAGGTTCTCTCCATGCTGGCTGGGGATGAGGGGTGCTCAGCCTTCAGCATCCCAGCTGAGGATCTTGGAGATGGGATTCCCTAGAGACAGCCTCAGGAGGCCATAGTCTTGCACCCTTAATTTATTCAATACATTTATACCCCACCTTATAACTTTCAAGGCATTTCAAGGCAGCGAAGAATAAGAGCAATGAATTAAGACAATGGCTATTATTATGCATAAACGAGTAGAACATTGAAACCATGGAAAATTCCTAAAATCGCAGAAGCCCAGAGCCAGTGAAGGCAAAACATGTAATAACAGCAACTAAAACTCGGACGCAAAGACCAAAAAGTCTTTGTGCAGTCCCTGTCAGGTAGGGTGAGTCTCTTTGGGGAAGGAACTCAAAAGACAGGACTGGAAGACACCAGCAATGCCACTTCTATTTTTAGCAGAAAAGAGTTTGCGACAGAGCGTGCTGTTATCACATGCTCAGCTCTAGATGGTGCCTGCCCTGGAAATGGCAAGGGCAAGAAGGCGGCGGGGAGGGGGGGGTGCGAGAGAGCAATGTGTAAAGAAGACACGTGTGTGGGGGGGGGCGGTGGGGGGGATCAGTCTTAACGGCCCCCGTTAAGAGTTTGTTCCTGATGGGACCATGGAAAGGCGTGTGCAGGGAGAGAATGTGGCAAGGCTGAGAGGCTTCTCGTTGTGTTTCACAGCAGGGCACCCTGACTAGGTCCAGGAGCTGAGTGATGCAGATGCGGTCTGCCTACGGCCAGGCAGAAGTCAGCCATTGGTTGTGTGCCTTGTCCTACGAGGACTGGACGCCACCATGGAAGGCAGGTTGCTTTTGGACATGTAGCTGGATGGTCTTTTCCTTTTCCAGTTGCTCTTGGCACCTGCATTTGCCAGCGCAGCGCTCATTTCCTGCTGAAGGACAGCTTGCTACAACTTGGAGTATTGAACAATATGTGGGCCAATTTCTGAGACATTTCTACAGCCTGAATGAAATGGCAAAAGGCAAAAGGTTAAACACCAGCAGCAAAGATCTATCTGTTTCTCCTTGTGATTTATTTGCATTTCCCCTACTTTTCTAAAGGCACTCTCCCAAGGATTTTGGCAACTGAAAATTACTTTCCTCTGTAATACAGTGATCATATGCATTCATCCTATGGATTTTGAGATCTCTGAACATAAATACTTCTATGCAGATGTTTGCTAGCTGTTGAAAATTAAGGTAGTCTGCATAAATTTAGAGCATTTGGCTCCTTTTTGCAAAGAACCAAATGGATGGAGACCAGGTTTTAAAAAGTTTACAATTTAAGACTACACAAGAAGCAAGTTGAGAATCAAGAACTCTGATAAGAGCTTTGTAAAGATCTTGTGATATTTATTATTTCCCTGAAACAAAGAAGTATTTTTGCAGTGAAATTTCAGATACGGAATCTTTTTCTTTCAGGAATAAACAATATGTGTACTATCAGGTATGAAGAATATTTATTTCTTAATGTATATATTAATATTAATCAGTATTAAAATGTTCAAGGTAGCTAACAGTCTAATGAACTTGTTAAAGCCATCAATAATATTCAGAAACAGTCATGAATAAATTACAGAAATAAAGCAATTCGACAAATAGCTTGCTGAAACATAGCAGTTTTACAATGGCCTGGTTCACATCTATTGCTGACGTATGGTTTATTTAAGCAATGAAATGCTGCCCTACCCAAGTTTGTCCAGTGGATGATCAAACAAACCATGGCTTCTGATACTTTAAAAGTGAGAACAAAAACTGTGGGATAGTGTACATAGCATTACTTGGGAAGATGTTTCCGTCCTTGGCATATAAAGAGGCTGTTTATTCTAAGTTTGCACATAATGTCTATCCATGGTTTAAACAAGTCACAGTTCACAACCCAACAACAAACTATGGGTTCTCTTTTTGGATTGTTTGCAGTTGATAGCTCATAGCTATCCTATATTCAACCCACAGTTCTGGGTTCACATGTAACGACAAATGATTGTTTATCATTATGGGCAAACCAGGTCATTGTTTTCATTCAACCCAAACAATAGAGATTGTGACTCCAATCTAGCTAGTTACATATGAACCCAGTGGGGCTTAAATGGTTCACCACCAACTTGATTTCCCTTGGTCCAGGACTAACTGTAGCAGGATCAGGGACTGCATGAGTAACTGCAGAGGAACATCAAGAAAGGGTTGATGTGGTGAATGGTTAAGTATAGCATAAATGACATTGAGTCTGATATTACATTAGATTTAAAGGCAATTACCATTCTGATTTAACCCAAGGGTGCTGAACCCCTAGCCCATTGGCCTAATCCAGACCACTGGGCTCCCTTACCTACATCATCACTCCAGCACTGGGTCAGGTTCATGAGCTGCTCCCCCAATTCCCCCTTCCAGAGCTGCTGACCAACTGGGGGTTCCTGCAGTTTCCTCCCACCATCAGTAGGAGCAGGGAATCAATTTTTAAAGGCCTTTTAAACCCTTGTCTGGTTTTGGGCACACGCTATGAAGCAACAGTCAATTTCTTCTCTGATCAACTTCTTCCTGCTTCCCCCTGTCCTGATTTTGCTGGGGAGGTGGGAACTGGCTGGGAAGAAGCTCTGGATGAGTTAACAACTTTTGATCCCTCCTTAGGGACGAGCAATTAAGTTCAGTTCTCAGGTGGCTGCCCATTAGCAGACTTTCTTGTTATTATTTTGGGATTTAATAGCAAATCAGGTCCAAAAAGACTTCATGACTCCCATCAACTGGAAAAAAACCCACAAGAAATTCTTGCAAGCAAGCATAAATGTCTGTACGTTAATGAATCTCCACTGCCTGTTGGGAAAACCAATTTTAATATTCTTAAATGGCAGAACAGAAGCCAAAGGAAAGTTGTCCACCTTCAAGGTGCCCACCTCATTAATAGGAAGGTCAGTGCTACATCTCAGAGCAGCCAAAGAGAAGATGATCTATAGTGGGAGCCACTCTACAAGTCTCAAGGCAAAGCGATTGCTGCATAAATATAGTGACCAGCTAGCAGGCTTTCAAGAACTCTCTTTTTAGCAAAGTAGTCAGGAGATAGCCAGCCTGGCAGGCCTGGGAGGGGGATCTGGGAGGGCCTGCTTGGCATGAGGCTCACTGGGGAGCCTCTGGGCCAGTCCCTGACTCTTAGCCAAACTCGCCTGACAAGGGTGCTTGTGGTGAGGCTAAAGGGAGAGGGGATCCTGGAGGACGCCTGGAGCGCCTGGCAAGAGGAAGAAGGGCAGGATACCCAGGCAGCGTAAGAGGAAAACCAGCAACTTCCTTGAGTGAGGATGAATGAGAAAGAGAGGAAGAGGTGATGGAAAAGGTAGATCAGGAGGCTTTGACCAGTGACTGACTGCAGAGGGACACCTCCACTTTGCTTTGACTTGGAAGAGGAGGGGATGACTGTGCTTTTTCAGCAATGCTGTGCTTTGCTGATCCAGCGGGATGCTTGTGCCATGCAGGCACATCTGGGACTGAGCCACTCCAATCTGCAAGGGACAGGATGTTCTGTTCTGCTTTCAGTGCCTCCCTGTTGCTGGAGCCTGATGCCTGCTCCTCGCCAAGTGGGTTATAGCTGAGTAGGCATGGACTGTATTGATTGTGGTTGCGCTGGCCTGTTTCTCAGCAGAAGTGCGTAACACTGAGCCGTGGTTCTTGTGGATTATTTCTGCACTGCAGACTGAGTGGTGGCAAGTGCTTCCTGCCCCACATTGGAAGGAACTGGGCTGCTGCCTTGCCCCCTTTGTCCTGCCCCAGCCTGCTTTTGCAGGTGGCCATCAGGCTCCCAAGAGGACCTCTGCCACCAAATTTCACTCTTGAACTAAAACTGGGCCAGCACCTCTGATCTAAACAGGGATAAAAGCAGAGGGTCTAATCCAGTGGCAACTTTTGGGAGGCCCAGACTAGACTTGTCAGCATGTCATGACATTTGGAGATTTCAGGTTGGGGGGCCATGCCCGACATAAAAAATACAGCAGAGTTACAATACCATAGAGAATGGGGAAATGGTGCTTACCTGCAAGAGCCATTGACAAACAAAATTCATCTTTTAGGATTTTCAACACCTGCTGAAGTCCTTCTTCACCCTGCTCCAACAAAGAGTGAGATTAAGGCTAATGCAGCCAGCACAGGCTGAAAATGGACGATGGTTTGTTGGGAAGCACTGTGTCGTCATCATATTCAGAGGATTCTCTTTTGTTCCCGAGTTACGCTTCCCACATTTTACTGATGTTCTATCGATCTTGAGAAGAGCTTGCCAACCTTCCCCTCTTCCAGTCTTTCTGTTGCCCTTTCAAGAACTCCAGCTGTGGGAAGGATCAGTGAATACCAGCACCCATCGCTATCACTGCAGTTGTTTCTTTTTATGAGAGAAAGGTGAGAGTCTGGATAAAAAGATAGCGCACTAAAATGCCCTAGGGAAAGGAAGGCCTTAATCCTAGGCAAGCTTAGAGGGGGAAAAGGCCTACAACTCCAGCCTTTTTCCATCTCAGCTTGCCTGGGATCACAGCTTTGATACCCATGCAAAGCTTGCAAGTACACGGCGAGGCTTTGCTTTCCGAGTACAAGCGCCCACTCCTTGCTGCATGGCAAGCTATCCGGAAAGGCACCTCCTTGTGAACAAGTCTCCCTCCCTTCTTCTAGCCCCAGATCGAAAGTCCAGTGAGCCTGGCATAGGGGTCTGCTTCGGAGAAGAGCCTGCTTCAGGCATCTCCTTGCAGGGCCTCCCTTCAGCTTATACACCCAGCACAGGTACTGCATCCTGCACAGACCAAGTGTTCATGCACCTTATAGACCAGGCCCCAGATGGCCGGCCTGCCGATGAAGACACATTTGGCCCCGAGTGCCAGGGCTTTCAGGACATCGCTGCCTGTTCGTATCCCGCCATCCAAGTAAACTTCAGCTTTGCCTTGCACTGCAGCCACAACTTCAACTAGAGCATCAATCTGTAAAGAAAGATTAACAGCAAAGCAAACCTTTAAACCTTAAACCTGGGCAAGGATGAGAAAACCAGTGGAAGGAGGCATTTGCATACATATGTCACAGGAAGCCTTTGCAATACCCCCCTTTTTTGGTCCAGGGTGACTTTTACCTCCAAGGACTGTTTGGTCATGAATACATTTTTGCTGAATGTTCCTATGGGGTGTCCCCAGAAACATGGGTGCCTACATCTTGGTGGTGCCAGCATGAGGTCAAAAAGTACCCACTCAAGGATTTGGCCTTTTAAAAGGACACATCAGAGCATACAATCCACAGATATCTTACAGCACTGGAAACGCAAGGTTGTGTGCTTCCAGATGGAGGTCTCCTAGCATGAACAAACAAGCAGTTCATGCAGCCACTCCCATTTCTCTTAGCATATTTTTCTGGCAGGACAAAAGATGGAAGGAGTGGTGGGGAAGCAGAGAAGGAGTACAAATCGGGGACAACAATGTTCAGGGCCTCCATAACAAGCCGGGAACAAGGTAGTGCAGTTGTGCATGAAAAGCCTTGTCTGGAAATAGCGCTGGTGCGCTAGACCTCCTGTCTTCCTTGAGCTGGCTTTGCAAACATGGAGCTTGTTTCCCTGCTTTCTATTGCCAGGCACAGATCCTTGTTTTTCAGCTTTTTCTCCCTGATTTTGTCTCTGTGTATCTTTTGCACCTGTGTGTGCTTACACAGCCAAATAGACCACATGGCTGTGGTCAGACAGATATGGCCCATCACTTACGCTTGCAGGAACCCCGTCAAGCTGTCGCCCTCCGTGGTTGGACACAATAATCCCCTGGACTCCATGTCTCACAGCCAGTTCAGCATCTTCCTTTGTCAGAATTCCTTTGATGATGAGGGGCAGGCGGGTCAAGCTTTGTAGCCAGGAGATGTCCTTCCAAGTGACCGAGGGGTCTATAGAGCCAGGCGGCAGCCCATATTCCGTGTGGTCTCCATCCTGAAGACAAGCGGCAAAAGGAACACTGTTAGTCCATCTCTTAGACTGTTCCCTAAGCTTTGGCACATTGGCCCAGTGAAGACGTTTCCTCCTTTCATAATCTCTCCTGTGGCAAGGTCAGGTTTGACTGTATTCCATATTTCCTTTTATAACTAAGTTTGCTCTTCCACAATGCTCCAGCACTTCCATTTCCTCCCTCATCCAGGGAGTTTACTGGGGGTCTGGATGCTGCGGACTTCCATTTATAGTCCTCCTTTGTTTTCCCAGAGCATGTTCCGCCTCCTCCTGCCCTTTCCCATTAAAGGGCCGACGAGGAGGCAAAGGTGTAACGGATGCACAGGGTCTTTTGGTCCTTAGGACCATGGGGAAGCACACCTGTTGTGTGGATGGCTCAGCCGTTGCCAGCCACCCCTTCCACCAAGCCCACTGGTGTTCATTCTTCCTCCTGCTGGCTCATGGCATCATCATCACGGGCCTGACAAAGGCTGTCCCTGCTGGGAGCTGGGGGCCCACGTGTAGAAATGGGTAAGCTCTTCTTTCCGACCCTCTGAAGCATGTCACACCTTGAGCTCAGAAAGAGCCAGGCAAACCCCTTCCCCACCGGATCCACATGTCTGCCTTTCAACTGCCGTCTGGAATCACGGACCCCTGGCCCACCCGTCAGCTTCTTGTCCTGCATCTATTTGAAGGGACCTTTAGTTTAAATTCCTAAATGTAGGGTCTCAGGTTGCAGGTGAACAGCCATCTGATGCATAATGGTAGGACTTCCAAGGGGATCTCCTGCATGTCACCTAAGCCCCAGGTGTGGAAGGAGCAAAATAATATTGCAGCAATGGCAATGGATAGAAAATTACCAACCTCAAAGAAACCGTCAAAGTTCTTCAGCTTCACAGAAGACAAGAACTGGAAGTTGTTGCGGATGTCATCCCGCCTCTTCCCAGTGTACGGCAGGTCGGCAGTGAGCACCAGGGCCTGGAACCCCAGCGATTCTACCCGCCGCACCAGCTGCTCGGAGAAGGACCTCTTCCGGTGAATGTAGAGCTGGAACCATCGCAACCCAGACGGCGCGGCAGCAACGATTTCTTCCACGGAGCAGTTGGAGTAAGTGCTGGCGATGTAGCAGGTGCTCATGGCTTGGGCCGCTTCAGCAGAGATGGGATGGGGAGAAAGGTTTGAGCCTGATGTGCTGGCAGAAGCCTGTTTTGGGTCCCTCGCACCCCCCTGGCCTTTCTTTGCAGCTGGGGCGGGCAACCCTTTTGGGCCTTCAGGCATATGGGATCACGGGGGGGGGGGGGGGGTTGGGACTTCTCCCCACTTTTCTTACTCCTGGCCCTGCTGCTTCCATTTTAACCTCACTCACCCCACTGCTTGCTTTCTCCCACCATTTTCCCTCATGGAAAGAGGAAGCGGGGACCGAAACACTGCAGAGACCCATGACGAGAGCAGCCCCGGCCTTGGCGAGCACCCTGCACCCTGCTGAAGACCTTCTGAGCATCGACCGGGGCAGCTCCCCTACTGATGTGGAGCACGAGTGTGGGGCTGTTTGCCAATGCATCACGCAGGAATTCATTTGCTGGAGCTTAGCAAGTGACTGGGGAGGCTGCCTCTGTAGCCTTTCAGCCTGGATGCATCTCCTTCCAGCTAATGATGAGCTGAAAGCTCAAGATAATGTGTGGTCTTGACCGCTTACATGGTGAGTATGTTAAGGTGAGCCACCTGATAGTCTGAAGCCTCCCCCTAAGCCAAAATGGCGGAGGTTGTTTCTCCTTCTGGGATGGATAAACAGAAGGTTGCAGTTGCTGGGGAGCAGGTGATTCAGCCAGGAGCGAGTCCAGGGGGAATTCTGTCCCGTTCATTGCATTTCTGCACTGCCAAGTGGCCCAGGCGATCTGGAGGGTTAGAGCTGAATGGCAGAATGAAGGCCAGAGTCGCCATTTGAGTGCTTGCCCAGCAGCAGCAATGACAGAGGGAAAAGCTAGAACTCGACCTCCAAAAAACCATCTACAGCAGCACACCCAAGAAGGACACATGCTGACCTTTGTGGCCCACTGGCTCATCGTTGTTGTTATTATTACAGCAATTATGCCTCACCTTTCCTCTTCTTGCAAGGGACCCAAGGGGGCTTACAAAGTTCTCCTCCTCTCCGTTTCACCCTCACATGACCCTGTGAGGTAGATTAGACTGAGAGGCAGGGACTGGCCCAAAGTCACCCAGAGAGCTCCATGGCTGAGTGAGGACTAGAACCCAGGTCATCTCAGTCCCTGTCCAACGCTCTAACCACTAGGCCACACCAAAAGGGTTGCATAATGAGCCCTTTTCCTTTGGAATGGCAGAGGATGTGCATGCAAGAAGTCTACATTTCAAACCCTGGATGGACACGGACTCTTCTTAGAAAATCTTGGGAGGAGTGTGCAGAAAGAGAGACCCCCTGAGGAAAATGTGGCATCTAACAATGTAAGGCTAATTTATTGTGCAACTAATTTATTGCACATTTAAATCACCCAATAACCACAGTTCCCTGAGAACTAAAACAAGAACGCAAACAGTAGATCAGTAATGACTAAACAAGCCAGCTAAACAGGTATAAAAACAATAACAGCCAAACATAAAGGCAGCAACATGAGTAAAATCTTGCAGAGATGTAATCTACTGGCAGCACTTCCAAAACCTCCTGGGAAAGGAAAAAATATCTTCACCTGGCACCCAGAAAAGCATCATATGGGAACCAGTGGAAACTCATTAGGGAGGAGAGTCCACGTATGGGGCATCACTCCTCCAAAACCCATCTCTCCCATAGCTGCCCACTTCTTATTTGGTGGGGGTACTGATAGGAGACCTCAGCTGATGAGCAGTGTCCTCCAAATAGATGATGATGATTATAACATTTCTATGCCGCCCCTTGCCGAAGCCGTGGGGTGGCTTACAAACACAATAAAATACAATAAAATACAAAAATAACAATATAAAATTAACATTAACAATATAAAATAAAAATATAAAATATAAAAGAAGTCGCCCTGGCCAGATAAATAAGCAAATATTGTTAACAATTCAAGTGACGTTTAAATAAAAAGGTCTTTGCCTGGCGCCGAAAAACAAATAACGACGGCGCCAGGCGGACCTCTCTGGGAAGCGCATTCCATAGATTGGGCGCCACTGCAGAGAAAGCCCTCCTCCGAGTACCTACCCTCCTAATTTCTTTCATGGGGGGTTCCCAGAGAAGGGCCTCTCCCGCAGATCTCAAAGGGCGGTCGGGCATATATGGATGTAAGCGCTCCTTCAGGTAACCAGGACCCAAGCCGTTTAGGGCTTTATAGGTCATAACTAACACCTTGAATTGGGCCCGGACTTCAATGGCAAGCCAGTGAAGCTGACGGAGGACTGGAGTTATGTGGACATAACGCCCCGTCCCCGTCAGCAGCCTGGCAGCTCTATTTTGAACCAAGATAAATGAGGGAGCAGGTGTTCCTTCAGGTAACTTGGTTTTAAAAAATGAGCACTTTGAACTGGAACCAGAAACAGACTGGTCGACAGTGCAGAGGGTGAAATGTTGGCCTCTTCTGATCGTTTTTGGCTGTTAGCAGTTTTGTGGCCCCGATTTGGACTAGCAGAAGTGTCCAGGCCGTTTTCAAAGGCAGTTCCGCACTGCAGTAATGAAACTGGCTGTCCATTCAGATGGTTTCATAGGAATAAGGAAAGGGGTGGAATCTGTGTGCGGCTGTGCAAAGCCTCTTATGCCCGTGTTGATTCACGCTATGCCCTCATTTTCTCAGGAACCTGCCACAGCGGCAGACCCGGCACCCCCTGACTCTTCAGTTGCACATGGCTGGGTTTTGTTTGTGACTTTCCTAGCAAGGAGAAGTGGACATACCTCTGGCTGTGCTTTGCTCTCCATCAGGCCAAGCCAACTTGTGGAAGCCAGTGGGGGCGATTCCCACAGGGAAACTGATTTCAGCACCGAGGATCGCGGTCTTTGTCTCCACTGCTGACATATCCTGCAGCATGCGTGGCCGGAAAAGGATTCTATGGGAAGAAATAGATGGCTGAAGCAGCAGCGCTGGTGCGGGGCACTTCTTCCTTGAAAACACCAAGGCACTCCAAGGGAAACTCATCTATGTACTGGCAGTTGGAGTCTTGCCCCCCCCCCCCCAATAAGGGGAACATAATTTGCAAGTTTGCACAAAAGCTATACGGTGGGCAGGTTAGGACGTCAGGGCACACAAGCAACAGGGCCTGAGGCCTTTCCGGAGAGCCTTGCCGGTTCCCAGTTCTCCCAAAGTAAAAGCACCATAATGAATGATCTAGGAACCCTCCTCCAGATCCCTGCTGCAGAAACTACCCCACACCACAGCTTTGCCCTCCAACCGTTTTATGAGGATCTCTAGAAGGTGTCCTATCCCCTGGTGGTCCTTCACCTACAAGCCGTAGCTTGCACCACTGTACCTGCTCTCTTACTGTGAGTGCCTGAAGAGATCTGTGCTATGCTGCATGCCCTTCCTTTGACCTTACAATGGTCTTTCCTCCTTGACTCTCCCAGAAGCCTCAGAACCCCTCTGCTTAGTTCCAACACCAACAACACTCTAGAACTCTGGTCCAGCCCAGCCAGAGCAGGTTTTTATTAGATATTCTGCCTCATACGTCCAGCATGCACGGGATTATCTGTTGCGCAGGGCACTCTGGCTGAGGGGGGCCAGTAAGCTGAAGGACATCCTGGCATGATCCTGGCTCTGTGGGGGAGCGCAACCCAGGTGACGAGCCTCACGCCCGAATGCAGACACCCCACAGAGCAACCCATGGCCCACCACTGGAGTGGCTGAACTGAGCCCGCTTTGGGGAGAGGCAGCAGGCAGCAACCAGCAAAGCTTATGAGATACAGAGATGCCCTGGCCCATATTAGTGTAAAGGAAACCATTTTCTAGATCAGATTTCTGCCCTGATAGGCATCAAATCAGCTCCTCCCAGTTTAGTGGTCAATTGCTAGGAGAGATGCATATAAATAGTTGCACTTTCATTGTCCTGGTGTTACGTTTCAACGTGGCCCAACTTGGCCTACTTGGTACTTTGTAAATGCCCATCGCAGAAGCAATGCTCACCATCTGCTCTTCAAAATGCAGAATACCTTTTATATGCTATGAGGTTCTCATCCCTGGTGCGGCCTTCATCAGCACCAGCTGCAAAGTAATCCCAGACAGGCTTGGGAAGATGATGCTTTGCGTAAGCCTCAAAATCTGACAAACAGACCAGGGACATCTCAGAGGAAAGTGGCAGAAACCTGGGAAGAGGAGAGAGGGAGGGAGAAGGTCGCACGTGACAAGTGCAGAGTTCAAAGAGTGCTGAAGCAAACCTGAGGGATACATCTTTTTACAATCAGTGAGGGGGCTTTTCAGGAGACAAATGGGAGACAATGCTGAGCAAGTCACTTCATGGATCAGCTCAAGATCATTTGGATTTCTTGTGGAGTTTCAGGATTATCAATAAAGCAGAACCCAAATCTGCAATCCCTAGCATTGTCTCGAATTGATATTGTTATACATACTTATAGAATGCCTTTTCAAGGCGTTTCAAGAAAAATAAAACCAACAACCATCAGAGATGAAAATTTGCTGCTGTTCCTTCCAGTATGATATCTGAGATGTAGCAAATGTTTTGTTTCAGTTCTCATGTAGTTCATCAAGAATATTTTTTGCTAGTAGTCCATCCTCTTTGCAGGCTGTATCCCAATGATAGAATTTGTTGCCCCTATATATGCAGACTGCCTCTTCATTTCACAACTGAAGACACCAAATGAATTCTTCTCTCAAGATTTTTGCTGCCGAGGTTCTGCTTTTCTCACCCCCCAGGCCCCCAGTGTGACCATCCATTCTATATTATTTATGTCCAGTCTAATCTGGAACGCCTCCCCCAAAGAGATTCACCTGGTGCCTTCCTTATTTTCTTTTCGGCACCAGGCAAAGACCTTCCTTTTTTAAAAAAAAACATTTTAATAACTAATGCCATATGTCCTTTGTTTTGTATTTCTGCTTGTATTTCATTGTTATTTTATTTTTAATGTGTTGTTATTGGTTTTTATTGTGTTTTTATCTTGTAATTGTGAGCTGCCCAGAGGTGCTGTGGATTAATTGGGCAGCATACAAATGTTTTAAATAAATAAATAAAATAATAGTAAATAATCTGGTTTCAGACTTTGGTGACAGGCAGCCTTGGTGGATGACTTATGCTGGGGAACAGACAGAGGAAATGTGGCCCTGTCAATGAAGGGGCTGAGTCTGCGTCTCACAAAATATAGTAGTCCAGGCTAGAATGCTCAGACTCTGAAAGTGAGCTATTAAAAAGGTGGGTGGAGAGAGAATAAACAAGAAGAGAGATTGGAATGCATTAATAAGTGAGACTAGCCAAGTGGCTGATGAGAACCAGACCACTTTTGTGTTTTGGGGAGACCCTGTAGAACAAGGCGGGGCAGAGCGGGAGGGGTGTTAATCAATCCAGTGGTTTATCATCAAGCCAAGCAAGAGGACTAATTAAGTAATGTCTGGTACTCCTGACATCTGGCCCACAAGCAGCATGAACCTCCCTAAGAGTGGAGCTGGCCCCTTTTGGGGGAAAAGGGAGGAGGCGGATTCAGTTTGACAAGGGCAGGAACTAATTTCACCAATTAGAGAGATCACATCCTCATGGTCTGCATTTTCCTTACTTAGTCCTCCTGTTGTTGGCATGTATCCCATCAGCCACTGGGCATGAAATTCATTCCAAATGTGCATCTCTCCTTTTCTATGTCACCTGCCTCTTCCTTATTGATTCACACACGGAGGCTGGATTTCTGTAGTTGCTCCTGTAGTTGCTGCTCTTTCCAGGGGACTCTGTGGTAATTGCAATGGGTCCTGGGCTCAGAAAACTCAATAAACCCATGAAGGCATGGGGAAACTGTTGAACAAATCGTTTCTCATTATGGTTTCTGAAGACCCAGTGTACCGTGATGAAATACCATGACTAGGTTCAGACATCATGACAGACCAACAGTGGCATGAAACCTCCATGACATGGCATGTGGTCTGAACCTGGCTACTCTGTATTGCACAGCCAGCCTAGCTCAGCAAAGGACTGCATTTTAGAGGTTTTCCACCTGATCTGCTGGAAAAGGAAAAGGGGAGAGATGTGCTCACGACTGTAGGTGCTTCAGGCCCTCTCACCAGCCTTCAGTACTCTCAGCCACAGCATCTTCTGGATGGCAGGGGGTGCGGCAGTGTCATGTCAAACTCTGGACGGAAAGGTCCCACGAAGGTCCCTTTTAGTTGATCCAGGCTACTACTTCTCAGCTCACGGACAAACTATTCAGGCTACAATTCTATATCCACTTACCTGGGAGTATATTAGACTACTGAAATGAATAGAACATACTTCCAAGAAAATGTATAAAATGTGACATAACCAGAAGGAAATCCCATTGTGATCCATGGAACTTAATTGAAGATTTTCCTGTAATTCTGTGGGAAGCAGCACACTGCTTTCTTTATAATTTGTAGAAAAACTCTGCCAGTGTTACAGGCAGGATTCTTCTTTAAGGATACTAACCTATGGTGAGCTAACTCTGTGAATCTCTATGGACACTGGAATTGCAACATCTTCAGAGGCCAGGAAATAAACATTGGATAAGGAGAAGCGGAGAAGAATAAAAAGCATATCTGAAGGCCGTGGTGTTCTGCATGCAAAGCTTATCTTTTGATGGCACAAGTTCATTGTCAAAGCAGAGAACACCCTCGTGCCAAATAGTGTAAAAGTTAAATTGAATAGCACATGACTGCTTGTTGAAAATGTAGGACATGAAATTAATTTCAGAGACATTCCTTTTTATAACCTGCCCAAAATATGACCTACTTATGCTTCCTTATACTAAAGGTTCTACAGAGATACTTGAATTTCCAGTTGGCTCCAAGTGTCTTAAAGATAGTATAATTCAATGATTTAAAAATTCTTGCTGGTTTGAAACCATGTTGGCTGAAGCTCCACAAAGGCAGGAAATGAGAAACCAAGGCTGTTAATTTATGACGTGCCCAAGATTTGTGGGGGTGTTGTGCAATGTCATGACTGTCCTTGTTTGTGGCTTACCAGTCATTCATCCATGACTTTCTTGGGCTTTTCAGACCCAAACCCAAGTGAGGTGGGTGGAGTCCTGGAGACCACCAGAGTGGCCCAGGGTGCTCTCATCCTGCACTGCCTTAGGAAGCACCCGAGCCTGATTGTTCTGCCAGGGGATCCCTCCCGAGTGTTTGTTGCTAGAGAAACCCTCCACGCCAGTCTGTTGCCTCCATCAGGGGCTCTCCAGATGTGCTGTCCATGAGGTGGAGACTTCCTCTAGCAGGGGCTTCATAAGGCAACTCAGGGTGAGGATGAGGTGGGGCATCTTTGCCAACCCCATAGCAGGCTGAGCATCATCTCTCCTTCTGGAGTCTTTTGGAGGGGGGCTTTTTTTGGTCTCCCTCCGTTTTCTTCCACCCTCCATCTTTTAGATGTATTGCGCTGCTCAGACAATTGTGAATGTGTTGCTAATAGCAAAACTGCAGTAGCTATTGTTTATAATCCTCTGGAAAGATCCTGAGGAAAACAGGTATCCATTTTTTCACAACACATAGCAAGTTCAACTAGGACAGTGCCAAAATTCCTTCCATGCCTTTTTGTTAGCTTAAGAAGTAGCAAAGAAATTGCTTTTGAAATGAAATTCCTGGGAGGATTACATTTTAGAAAAAGTCTAATGGGTGTAGAGAGGGGGCCCAGCTCTTGCACAGCACATCTGCTTGGATTGATTCATCCAATTCGGGGGAGGGGGGGCGTTGAGGGCAGATTTGGGCAGATGACCAGAACATTTCAAGGTTACCCAGTGAAGTTTTTCAGGCAGAGTTTGACAACCAGCCTACCTCAGAAACTTCTTAAAGCTGGAGTGGGAAGGGATGCAGGGGGAGTTCCTTGACCAGGAGACAACAGGTAAAATGATGGGACCAGTTAAGACATGCCCCCCATTCCTGCCATCTAGTCCTCAAGCAGCAAGAGCCATCCTGAGGGTGGAGTCTGGAGCTTTTGGGAAAGGGAGGGGAAATTTCAGAGTGAATTCAACTCTTCACCTGGGCAGTTCTGGGAATGTTGGGCTCAGCTAATCATGGATGAAGCTGTATTGCTCATTCACACTGGTGGATGAAGGAAGCAATGGGCTTAGGAGAGAAGTGGAAAGGGGCAGACCTGCAAGCCCCCACTGGCCAGCCAAGAGCCCATCCTTCACTTGCGAATCCACAACAAGCACCTCACTGTATAAGATCCAATCTCAAATGGATCATGAGAAAACTTAAGCCCCATTGATTTTTATGGGCCTACGCTGAGTATTACTTAGTCTGGATCCAGCCCACTGACCCTGCAGGACCACATTCTCCTTGCAGGACAGGCCCTCCTACACGGCACAGAACCCATGGAAACTGCACACGGAGCAGCACCACCACTTCCTGCTTCGGATATTGCAAGGAAACAAAAGAGGCACTCACAACAGCAAGCCCCTCTGAGGGATTAGGAGCATGCCTGCTTCACACATGCCACCAGCCCTTCTCCCCCAGCCTTTGGCGCGGCCTTTCCCCCTTTGCCCTCCCTTTAAGCGCTTGCACCAGGCCCCGGCGTCCCTGGTAGGTGGGCAGAAACTTGGTCCTCCCTCCTGGTTCCTCTCTTTCCCAGTTTGTGCTCCCCACTTCAGCCATACTTTCCACTGCGGCCCTTGCAAAATGAACTTACGTTTAATACGGAAGTGTGAGCAACACCAGCTAAAACACTTTGCTTCACTGTGATTTCAAACTCAAGGCAGGTTAAGCCCTTGGTGGGAAATGGCGCTCTGCGGTTTATGTTGTTGCGTCAGGGAGAGAGGGTGGCTATTAGAAATGCAGCAAAATCTCACAAGAGATTAAAGCTTAACTTTCCTGCAAACTTTGGACTGTTTGTGTGTTCTGAATTGCTCTGATTGCAAAACAGTCCTTCTGGCCAGCACAGCAAGTGCTCCATCCAGAGCCCAAACATTTTTAGCATTTCAGGGAACATGAAGTCAGCAAGTCAGTGCAGCACAAGGCAGTCTAGTGGTATTCGGACACCATTTGTGCCTTACAGAAGCCTTAGAAATTCCAGCACTATACATTAGGAACTGGGCTGCATTTTTCCCAAATTCATTCGAAAGCAAATTTGTTAACATCCAGTAGAAGTGAAATGGCAACTAGTCAGAAGTTTTGCATGAAGGGGCTCGCCAAAACAGACACAGCTCGAGTTCACAGGTAGTCCTCGGGTTACAGACAAGTTCTGCTCCAGAGAACATCCTTAAGCTAAAGTTGTAAGTCAGATCACATAAGTAAGCCAAATGTTTGTCTTAGTAAATCTACATGTTTTACCTTTTTATGCATATAAAATGCTTAAGACACACTTCCATATTCACTAAAGCATCTTAAACACGATACAGCAGTGTAATAATGGTAATAATACAGTAACAATAAAGTAACTACAGGTACCGAAGAGGAATTGAGAATCTGAATGTTTGTGTGTAGGTATACAGTATTAAGAAAAAGAAAAACAAACAGTTCTTAAAAGAGTTTAGAACATTCTTGAGGTAACATTAAGCCTGACATCGATGATGATGGAGATGGACCTGGTACTGGAGAGGCAGGGTTTGATTGTGCTGCTAGAGAGGTGTGTGTGTGTGTGTGTGTGCGTGGGGAGGGAGGGAGTTACTGCTGGAGTGGCTTTCTCCAAGTAGGCCTCAAGGGTTGCTTGTACATGCATGTTCTTTTTCTCACCGTAAATGCCTTTGTATTTACCAGCTGAGGGCCTGGTTGCCAGGGCAAAAACCACAGAAGAACCAAAGGGGAGGTATGTGCCCCTACCCATGTCTCGAAACACACTGGCTTGCATGTGCTGGAGCCAACTTCCAGAATGAAAAGCCATGACTGCTGCACCTCTAGGTTGCTAGGCCGCCCCTGATGACACACCACCAAACACATCGTGTAGTTCCCTGGAGATATCTCATGTTTGTAGAGAAAGCTGTGACTATCTCTATGAAAAGCTGTTAATGCCTCTAATGAACAGCTGTGATTATCTGTCGAGAGCTATGCAGCCACTGATGATGCATCACCGAATGCATCACATAATTCCCTAGAGATGTTCATATATGGTTTATGGTGGTCTGGATGTTTGTAAGTACGGGTTGTTTGTAACTCAGATGTTTGTAATGCCTGTACTAGCATCAATACAGCATTGGCTCCTTCGCAGCAATATTGCTATGTTTTTGTGAGATCATCTGGATGACTTTTCAGGGCCCATGTGTCAAATCTCTTCAGAATATCTCATCCCTATGTTTTCTGTAAGCAGAGCTAACTACATGGGTGCCTTGAGGCACTGGCATGGCTTATATGCCATGAACATGTTACCAAGCCTATTATGTTGACTCATTTCTCTGATTGCATTCACTGGGTGCAGTTTGGCATGTTATTAACAAACCAACCAAAACTTATGGATTGCTGTAGGCTTATGGGATGGATCAGTAACTACTCCAGCAAGCCACCCTGGCTGGGTTTGCATGACATGAGAAGCTTCAGGAGGCCAGTAACTTGGCAGATGCGGCCACTACAAAATGCCACGACGGCACTAATCGTGTGCACCAGATCGGTGCCTCTCACATGGCAGGGGTAACGTTTGGAGATGTGTTTTGATGGGAGACAGGGCCGCCCAACAGGAGAACACTCCTCCAGTCCATAGTGTCGCGAAGAGTCGGGCACGACTTTGTGACTTTGTGACTGGACAACGGCAAGGACAGCCCAAAGGGATAGCCAGTCTCTCTTCACTAGACAAAGGGAGGGGTGAGAGCAGTCTGTGTGCAGCAGGAAGGTCATCTGTACCAGGACTGGATCCGGAGAGGATGCTTTCCTGCCTGCAAAGCATCCTATGGCACCACGGGTTCCTCTGGACCTCTGATGGGGAACAGGAATCCATCGTTGTACTCAACTTGGATGGATTCTGCAGAAATGGAATCCAGGGAAAGGGAGGGACCCCTGGAAGCTTCTCACCACTGGGAGGTGGGGTGCATGCTCCTAAAGTTTTAAGAAAAACCCATTCTTGCATAGATGTGCCTAGATGTGTTATAACACGCTTGCTTATTTTGCCTAAATTAGCTGGTTGATGACTGTCAAGGTTTATTTTGCAAGTATTTTTGTTTGTGGAACAAGTGCCTGTGTCTCCAAGAGGCCACAAATCATCCCACAAGTCCATGCATGGGCTCCGGGGCTGCTCCCAAACTGATGGCCCCTGGTGCTGCCAGCAAGGAGACCTTGTGCCGTCGCTTCACTGTTTCCTCTTTTGCGGCTCGGTGCTGCTGAGATAAAAGATGAAGAAGCAGCTCGCAGGAGGCATGTAAGCAGAAGATGCCATTTTCTGGGTCCTCTTTAGATTCCTGTGCATGGCACACTCACCATCCCAGTGCGAAGCACTGCTGCTCTTCTGCAACGTGTGGGTCAGGCCCATAGTTCAGGCTCTCAAGAGCACAGGCTTTCCTCAGGCAAATGCATATAGCTGTCATGAAGCCCAGAATACAGCCTGTTTTCCTCTGCAGGGTCCTGCAGGTGGTAAGGATAGAAGCCAAGCAAAGGAATGATTCTTAACTTCAGCATGCAGGATGCCAGGGGCAACCTGACTGGTGAGGCTGAGGCTTGTCAGGACAGAAAACCAAGGGAGGCAGCACTAATTACAATTGCATACACTTCTCTGAAGAACACCTTGATTCAAAAGGACTGGATGTTCTTCCACTTGGCCCTCCACTGGAAGAAAAATGGCAGGGTGACTTTTTCAGGGGACTGGCTGGGGAAGTATGGATTCCCCCTCGCCCCATAGCCATGACGTAGATCCGTGATTTCCAGAGTGGGGGGTACCACGCCCCCGGAGGTGGTGGAAAGATCCAGGAGGGCAGTGATTAGTAGTTTTAAATTTGCACTAGAGCAATAGCCCTAATATAAAGAAAGAGACATGGGGTGCTAGGGTTGTTGCCCAAGAGAAAAGTGGGGGCAGCCCAAAAAGGTTCGGGGACCACTTACGTGGATGAAGAGAGGAAGTCAGCCAGTCCGTTTCTGCTCTCTGGCTCACAGCCAGGCAGCCTTCTTGAGTCAGCCAGGCTTCTGGTGGGATGAAGCAACAGGTGGTCCTGGACGCCCCCCCCCCCCCCGGGTCTTGTCTTCCCCTACAGGCATTTGCACAGGGGAAAATGTAGCTCCTGCAGAAACGTTCTTGAGCATGTGTGACTCACTGCATGTGCCCCATGTTCCCCCTTGGAGAGCAGGATGGAAAGAGGGGTTGCGCAGCTGCTGCTTGCCACTTTATATTGCATCCCATGGCAGGAAAAAGGGAGATGAGCAGCAAGAAATGGATTAGGTAGGGCAGGAAGCCATTCCTGGAGGGGCTTTTTCACCATCCTGTGGGAGAAGTGCCACTTTTCCAAGTCTAGAGCATGTACCAGGCACTGGAAACCTATGCGTGGACAAGAAAACAGAAATGCAATTCTTAAATTATTATAATTATTATTATTATTAGAACATTTCTATGCCACCCCTTGTTTTTGTGGCATTCTTGACATTGAATATTATTTTCCTCTCCCTCTCACATTTTCACACACAAACTGGCCAGGGTTAGTCATGTAGATACTGGCCACCATGTCCATCTCATTGGTCTTTGTGCATTATCAGAGGTCTTAAACCTATGTGCAGCTTTTTGTACAAACCCGGTTCAGGCTTTAGCACCTGCAATACCAGGATGCTGATGCCAGCTTTGGAGCCTCAGTACTCAGTATGTCATTAAAGAAGCAACATTGGGGAAATTCAGTGTTTACATTCTCATTCCTATAGATGTCCCCCACCAGCTGTCTGCACCGTTTTGTCAGCGATGCAACTTTTTTTAATTATCCCAAATTGTTAGAGGAATTACCAGGAAAATTCAGTGTTTACGCTCTCTTGCCACTAGATGTCACCATGGTTCCACACATCTTTGGGCACTCCGCAGCTGGACTGGTACAGAGTTCCCTGTTCCGGTCTGCACCTGGAAAGCTGACAGGATGACTCACAACTCTGAGCCATATTGGATGATACTGATTATTTAGATGCATTCCAATCAGGTTTCTGACATGGTAATAGGATAGAAGCAGTCTTGGTCTCCCTGGTTGACGATTTACACCAGGGAATTGGTGGGGAGAGTTAAACTTCACAACTTCCTTTGGACCTCTCAGGGGCTCATGGTATCCTTCCAGACGGGTGGACCTGGATTCAGCTTGGGAGGCATGATTCTATGCTGACTCCTGTCCTTCCCACAGCAGTGGTGTTCAGGTCTGCAGAGTGGCTTGGCTGGCTGGCAGGCAGCCTGGTTCTCCTTGCAAGTGCTTGCAGGACCAGTGTCAGTTGCCTGCAGGGATTACAAGCATTGTGTACATGGACACTAGCTGGAGATCAAAGGAGATCAAACTAGCTGGAGAAACTAGCCGGAAACTAGCTGGAGGTGGTCCAGCTGGGGCAGAAGGCAGTTGTCTGAGTGGGACACGGTGATTAGCCCATAAAAGACTGCTCATTCCCAGCCATGAAAGACTGCTCATTCCCACCTAGCTTTCTTGCAGCAAGTGAGTTTCAGTGGTGGATGCTTTGTGCTCCTGATCTGACTTCTGCCCCCAGCCCTGCAACGTCTTCCTTCATGCCTTGATCTCTGCTCTCTTGATCCTTTGCCAGGTACCTGAGCCTCACCTGCTCCTGATAGTGCTTCCACCTCTGGCCCAACTGCATCTTGCTGGGACTTCCTT